GTTCTTCTCTAGAATCTATTACCTCTCTAGCCATGTTTTTTTTTTGTTTTGTTTTGTTGTTTGTTTTGGCTTGTTCTTTTGGTTTACAGTATCAGGCATGAACTCCCTCCTACTGGGTGGGCTTTAAGCACGATGAGACAGTTGTTGGTTAAAAGCTAAAAGCGCCACTATTGCACCATTGAGAATATCTAACAGGCCCCTCCTGGGCCTGTTATTGTTGTGGTCTATAGACTTCACAGGAGGACAGAGATGTTAGTTTTCTTCCTTGGAAGCTTGCGTAGCAGTCTTTGGACAGTGTGAGAGCTAGAAGTTAGGGTTTAGGGTAAAATTTAACTTTGCTATGTCTTTGCTGGTTGTTTAGGATACAATTTAATGTTGCTATTTCTCTGTTGTCTATAGTGATTTGTCTATTACCATTATAGTTATTATTGTCTTGTGTACTCTCCTTCTTCTGTATACAACTGTTACAATTGTGTTGTGTGTAATGGTTATCGCATTGCATAACACCAGCATTACAATGGAGTCTTCTACTCTAGGCATATTACTATTTGCTTCATATCTGGATTTTTCTTTTAGTACTATGAAAACCTCATGCTAGTCTTTCCTAGTCTATAAAGTTACTGTGGAAAAGCCTGCTGTCAGCTAATCTGAGGCAACCCTGCATGTGGTCTTGTATCTTCCTTTGTAGATACAAGAATCTTCTTTTTGTCTTTCACTGGTAACATAGACTTGACTGACAGTCCTGATTCCTGTACCTACCGGTAAGGTTTCTGTTAGTATTTCTTTGAATAAGATTTCTATTCCTTTATCCTTTTCAAGTCCTTGAATCCCAGTCATCCAAATTGCTCTTCTAATACAACTCTAAAGGAACTCATGGGTTTTATTCATTTCCTCTTATTCTTTTCTCTGCAACTGTATGTATATTTTAAAGTCTGTCTTGGAGGTTACAAACTCTTCCTTCAATTTTATCTAGCCTCCCATGATAGTTAATTATCATTGTTAATGTAAGTAGGATTCAGAATCACCATGGAGACACACCTCTCAGTATGTCTATGAGTCTTTTCAGCATATATATATTTTTTATTTCTCAAGACAGGGTTTCTCTGTGTAACAGCCCAGGTTGCCCCGGAACTCACTCTGTAAAGCAGGCTGGCCTCCAACTCAGAGATCTGCCTGCCTCTGTTTCCCAAGTGCTGGGATGAATGGTGTGCATGCATCAGCTTTAGCATTCTTGACAGAGCAGGAAGGGAAGACACATTCTGGATATGAAAAGCACATCCCAAGGACTGGAGTCCCAGTCTGAATGGAAAGGAGAAAGCTATTTGTGCACTAGTGTTTGTTTCACTCTGCATCCTGAGGAAGACCAGCCTGGTCCCCAAGGCTAAACAAATCCCTCCCTTCCTTAAACTGCTTCATGTCAGCTGTTTTATCACAACAATGAGGAAAGGAGCTAATCCACCTCTTATGGATACTTTTTGTTGCAATTTTAATTTCAACACCGTCTATTTTGGAACTCAAAAAAATTGATTTTTAAAAACTGTTTCCATCTCTTAATTTTCTCAGAATATTACAATATTATTTTTCAATGTTTGCTTCAAACTAGTAGAATTTCTTTAAAAAGGCTATTTTTAATTATCTTTCTGAGAGTCCCCTGTGCTATTATCTGGTTAGCTTCTGGCACTTTAGTAAATGAAGTCAAGGACCTTGCTTGCACATGACTTTGAATTAAAGGTTTGATCACCCTGGGCTTCCTTACTTAGCTCTGTGCTAGGCTTGGCTTGCATGTTCAGGAAGAATGAGAAGAATACCTAGAAAGAGCAATCTGTTGCCATAGCCACCCTCTGGGACCAGAGCAATCTGTTGCCATAGCCACCCTCTGGGACCAGAGCAATCTGTTGCCATAGCCACCCTCTGGGACCAGGGTGGTTCCACATATTGTGTTCATAGTTACTTGATTGTGATCTGGCACTAAAGATCTGTCTTGCTCTGGTAACAGTCATTTACCATGGGAGGAGCCGCTTTAGGTTCCTGTATGACACGCCAATGCCACAAATGCTACCAATCTGTACCACACCCACCCTACAGCTCATCAAGAACAAAACAACACAGCACGTGGATAGTCCCACACGATTATAGATTTCCCAATGCCAAGGTAGTCTTGTGGGCTAAGAATACAACAAGCAGCCACCAGTGATGCCAGCTAGAACTGAATTCTGTTAGACATGGAACAAGTCTTTCTTTTAAAATTCAAGCTGCTCCTGAGAGCTGGCAGAGGCATGGGGCTCTTAAGATCTGTTGGAGGGGGGCTCAGGTTTCACCATAAACAAGTCTTCATTTATCACCCCAAATTTCCCCTTTATGCTTTTAGCTTAGTAAATAATCAAGATAACTCTGTCATATCAAGTGATATCATTTCTGTAATAAAAACAAATACAGAGATTAGAGGAATGGCTCAGCAGTTAAGAGCACTTGCTGTGCTTGCAGAGGACCCAGGTTTGGTTCCCAGCACCATACCAGGTGACTCACCTGTGGCTCCTGTTCCAAAGAACTGGATGACCTCTGGATTCTGTAGGCATCTGCATGGACGTGTTGTACATAAACTCATGCAGACACACATGCAAGGGCATACCTTTCAATATTTTAAAAATTACTTTTATTTGAAATAAATTTACATCACATCCAGCCCCTCCCAGTTACCTTCCCTTGAATCCCTCCAATGCCCCTCAAGTTGACAGCCTGGCCAAATCAATGAACTCTGTGTTCAGGGGAGACTCTGCCTCAATATATAAGGTGGAGAGGGATCGAGAGGAACCTGGCATCAACCTTTGGCCTCCATATGCACGTTCACCCATGCATGTACACATACACATTAATATACTCATACAAACACGCATACACACACCACATACACAGACATAATATAGAATGCTAGTGGCCAGACTTTTCTGCTGCAGTTTGAAGATGTGCATATTGCTTTTCCATAATTTGTTGCAAAGTTTTCTGCTAGTCTAAACTTTCTTCTTCTCCTTTGATATTCTTGCCACCTAATCTCTGTCCTTATGTCCTATGTACTGACAGTTGAGAAAAGAATTTGCTCATTTCCAAAAACTAGATGGCCCACCAGTTCTCCCCTGCCCCCCTTCTCCTTTTCTCAGCTATAAATTGCAATTTAAAGGTACAAATTCATGATTAAAGCTGTTTGCCTGTGGCTTTGCCCTCTACCAGCACAGGCCAAAGCTGTACATGGGGCTCCCACCAGAGTCACCACCTCAGCAGGCTAGGTTTTCTTTTCTTTTTTTTTTCTCCAAGTTTCTGAGAGAGTTTGGGGTTTTCCTGTTGTAGCCTCTCTAAAACAGTCTCCAGCTGCCACCCAAACTCTAGAAGCACCTAGGCCATCCTAATTACCCATTCTAGCCTGGTTAGCTCAGTTGGTAGAGCATTAGACTTAATCTCAGGGCCATGGGTTCAAGCCCCATGTTGGGTGCCAATATGTAGCACAAATAATAAAAACCCAGAGACGGATACTGGGGTTCAAGCTGAAGATCAGAAAAGCAAAGCAGCCAGCCACTAGAGTTCTTAGCTCTACCAAGGCTGAGTGACCCTGTCCTCAGTGTGACTGCAGACTAAATACGGACTGAGACTCTGAGCTCCTGTCTTATATTCCTCTCTAGTGCTGGGATTAAAGGTGTGTACCATCACTGCCTGACCTCTATGACTGTGGCTAGCTTTGCATTCTGATCTTTAGGCAAGCTTTATTAGATCATAAACAAAATATCACCACAAGAATCCCATGGTTATTGCAAAGCTTAGGGTACTAGGTTCCAGACTGATTTCAAGCAGGGTTCCTAAACAGCCCCCCAGACCTGGTCTGCAGAGGGGCTTCTCCCTCTCTCATCTAGGTCAGTGAGGAAGTTGCCACTGAAGCTTGTTATATAGGAATGTGTCACCTAAACTGTGAGCCAGAGCTCAGGACCACTTATACTGTAGGCAGGTCTGAGAGGCTCCCCCACTCCTCTATACCCCCCCAATGTAAACTGAATTGCCCGCTCTTAGGACCTAGAACACTGGTGACTGACTGGCCAGGGATTTCTGCCTTAGAAAACCTTTGTCTATTCTCGATGGCTGTTGTTGTTTTTATGTTAGTTCTGTTTCCCAAGTATCATAGATGCACATATGACTGCCTAATCCTCAAAGATACTGAGAATCTGAACTGCACCGGAGTCTGGGAAATGCAGATACTTTTAGTTCATTCTGTCTTTGTGGACCACAAAAGCACATTGTAAAGAGAGAGGATTGGAGGGTGTGGGCCAAGGTTGAGGATTGGATGCTGTGGGCCATTTTTAACACCCAACAACCATTCCAAAATCACTGTAAATTCACCAAATTTTAATAACTTCTGAGGAAATGTTACATGAGTATAGGTTTTTAAATGTAAGAACAAGACTTGGGGCTAGAAATAGAACTCAGTGGTGGAGAACATGTTTAACGTGTGGGAAACCCTAGGTTCTATTCCCAACGTCAAAGAAACAACAACATGTCCCTACCACAGAAAACAAGACAGGATTTGTTCAATGAGTAGCTGTTTCTTGAATGTCTATTATCTGCCAAGCACTCTGTCATTGTGGCAAAGGTTATAGTGTAGCTGTGAAGACGGAATGCATGCTGGGTTAGAAGATGAGAAAATTATTTCAATGCGTGCACACTGTTGTAGCAGAGAAGGGGGGTGTTGTCAGTTTTCTTAAGGGTGAGAAGTCCTTGCACTGGGCTTGAGAGATGGGTAGCACCTACCCAGACCCAGTCTCGGGGGTGCATGTCCAAAGACACAGAGGCATGGAAGAGGGTGACTCAGTTGAAGAACCATAGCTTGAACGCTTTTTCCTCCTCAGTAAAGCTCTCTTGTCACAGCGTAGCCCCTGTCGTGTGAATTGGGATTATACATGTAAACATAAAGAAGTCTTTTTATTAACACGTTTTGTTTCTTCTCAGATATTAAATTAATCATGAAGACGAGTATTATCAGTACATGGCACTCCTTCGTAAATATCCCCAATGCGATTGTACCAGCTATTGAAGAGGAAATCCGGCGCATGGAAAATGGAGCATGCAGGTGGATCTATGCACCTTATCACGGGTTTTTAAAGCAAGACTTTTTTGTTGTTTTTTTAAACTTATCTAGGTTTGATTTCAAGTTAGCTTTGTAATTTGTATCCTTAAAATTAATAGCCTATTTAATTTAGTGAATTTATACTTTGGGACAGCATAACTTGTCTATCACATGAAGAATATTATGATGGGTAGTTTATGGAAGCATCTATGATGTGACTATGACAAATACTTGTTTACTCATAAGTAGGACTTTTCCCCATGGGAAATATAGAATCCAAATAGATGACATTGCTATACATAAATGTGAGAAGGTATATAGAATGTGAAATCTAACAATATAATTTAAAATAGTTACCCATAAGTGAATAGAATATGTGTGTGTTATAGAATTTCCTTTTAATGGAAGGAAATATCTTGATGTGAGAGCTCACTCACATGCATAAAATAACCTAAAATTGGATACCCCAGTTCCTATTGGATAAACATTGACATCGACCAGTGCATCGAACAACAGTGAAGTGGAAGATCTAGTATATATACATTCCTAGCATCACTGGGCACACACTCTGTAGAATGCTATGCTCCTTCCTCATTCTTATTAAGCATGTGGTTTGGTCTGCAGGGGTGGAAAGTGATGGAGTGGGGGCTCACCTTGGCCTTCCTCTGAGATGGTTAAAACAATCCTACTCACCTCTGCTTCCCTTTGAATGGCAGCTCCTTTTCGGATGACAATGCCTCTCTGTCTGAAGCAGAGAGTGAGGACTCTTTCTTTAGAAACAGCTCACACAGAAGGCAAGGACCATCCCAGAGGTGAGCAGGGTCATCTAACCTTCGGAATGTGTCTTTTAAATTGGATGAAAAACTTCTGTTCCTTCTACAGAGTGGCTTGACAAATGCTCTTGTCAATGAGATACTTTGCAAGATCTCATGAGTACCTTGCTATTTCTGTTCCTTACCTTTGTCCTCTCTTGGAAAACTGCTGATGTCTAATTATTTATGGTCACAGGGTTTCCAGTCATAAATATGCCACATCATGTTCCCTGAGACCATTATTGCCTATTCCTCAGACACTTGCCTCATTACTCTCTTTGACCTGAACAGGCAGGAATAAGGGTCCTGAACACTGAGACGTCAAGTAGGAGGGCCAGGGATGGGAAATAAAGATGAGAAATAGAGAAGACAAAAAGCAATAACTGGGACCAGGTGGTCTTCCATAAGCTGATGACTTACGCCAAGCAAGTTTATTAAGAAGTACAGCATTATGTATACTATTTGCAGGAAGAAAATGGCCAAGGACAGCAGAGAGCTAAATCAGACATTGTTGACAAAGAGCACAGGACACAGACACAGCTGTCTCAGGACTGATAATTACAACCCAGCGGGAAGAGTTGGGTCTTCAGATATTACGATCTTGACTCCTATGAGGCACTGGCTCTAGTATTAGACTTGTCTTGGCAAGTCTGTTCCTGGACAATGAGAGAGAACTAAAGTCTCTTTTGTCTTTTCATTAGAGCCTCTTAGAAATCTTGGGTGTGTCTGGCTCCCCACATTCCTTTGATATCCTGTTTCTTTTGAGTTCATCCTTCAGGATCCTGGAACAACTACATATGAGAGGGTGGGCTATCATTATCTAAACTGCTGTATCTGGGAGAGCCTACTCCCAGGAAATACAGTGTGAGATTAGAAAAGTATAAAATGTTCATAGGGGAACTAAAGCAATCCTGTTCGAATACAGAGCCTGAAGCCATTGAATGTTGAAGGAATGTGGTATAGTATGGACCAGAGGTTCTGATCCTACGCAATGTATTTTACTTTTTATTATCTTTCCCCCTCTTTTTATTTCTTCCTGTGACTAACTATAGCTTTCCACTGTATTTATTTAAAGTATTTATTCCCCCTCTTTTTGTTTTTGCTGACTATCTGGGGTCTTTTGGAGGATGCCAGTGCTATCTATCCTGGTTCACTCAAGGCCAAAGATGATACCAAGTTTGTTATGCACCTTGACCAATAGTTATTTACTAGCTGTTTCGGTTCAATGCGCTGGTTTATGGCAAGTTGTGCTTCACAGAAGTTCTGTACTTTTAAAATAGTAATCTGGGCAATGTTACGTAGGGAGTAGAAAAGTGTAAGTCGTTTGTTTTGTTAAGACAGTTTGCTAACTATGAGCATGGTGACCATTGCGCTCTCACTGTATGTTTTTCCTTTTCCAGGGAGCAGTACTTGCCAGGTACTATGGCTCTTTTTAATGTTAACAACAGCAGCAACAAAGACCAGTAAGTACATCTGTGGAAGAAAACGAAAGCAAGTAAAAAACTAGCAGTATCTAAATTCGAGATATAGCTAATACTTGGCACTTGAACTAATTTAATAGAGATGACATTCTATTATTTATGTTTGCTAAAATGCAGCTGCTTCCTATTAAAATAGCATATATATATAATTCATTTAGTTGAATGTTTTTAAAAGGTCTATGTTAGACGTGCAATTGCCCTTCCTTAGGACAGAACAAATGACAGAAGTCATGAAACACTGAACCTATGTACCTTGTGGCATATTCTTCAGGAGGCAGCCTCTGAGATAGAGGTCTGTGTGCAAATATTTACGGGATGTGTCCTTTGGAGTGGCATCTGAAAGGGAGTTAGGGGTGGCAGAATTAATTGGGCAGAGGGAGATGGTGATTTCAGAAAATAGGTTTGCTTTTATGGGAGTGTTGGAGCATAGATATGCTTTCAAATTTGTGTCATACTCAGCTGACAGAAGCCGGCCTTTGCAGTCACACAGAGTAATTCACTAAGGACAGGCCTAGGAAGCTGGAAGGTATGTTTTAAAATGGTGATTTTCTTCTTCCAGGCCTTCCTTCCAAGGGATAGGAGAAACTGAACTGTCAGCAACCAATTTTTGGTGTGTGGGAAACCTATGTGTAACTGTACCCCCACAGCCCACCTGTGACCTGCTCAGCTCCACTCTTTTAGATAGAAAACTATGGGGCTGCCCTTGCCCAGGATTCTGGATGTTCTTTTGTCTCACTGAAGCATGGGAGAGGAAGGTCAATGGGATGCACAAAGATCTCTGACAACTTTAGATGCTTTTGAGGTTTACACAGAAACTCCTTACCTACTTTTATTCGGTCGAGAGCCCTTTCATCATTGTGCAGAACTTCTTCCGGTCTAGGGAAATGCAGACATTTGGCTGCTCACCATGTCTTCCTTGGGATGTGGCTACTAGCCTTGTCCATTCACTATCAAAGATGGGCTGGGGAATTCCAAAAGATACCATAAAGGATCATGTGCCTGTCAGATGCTTTTCTACCTTTTCATTGCATAACAGCAGCACTACCTACGTTTGATAATCAGCATCATAAACTTTCCAGTCTGGTGATTCTTTTTCTCTGCCAATTGGTTTCTTGGAGCAATGAGTTCAAAGTGGCCAGAGAGTAGTCATAGATTAATGTTTAATGGGACTGTAACTGTGCTCTTTGGCAGAAGTGTAGCTGCTGTCTCATCAAACGAGGACCTCTAGAGCTACAAAACCTAGATATGCATGGATGGGGAGTGTACTTTCCCTATGTAAAGTACCCCTAGGTAAATACCTTGGTTCCTAGACCAGTGCATTCTATTCATGTATAGGCATAGAGCACCACCTAATGACCATTCTTTTTTCATGCATACAGTATCCTGGATTATAGTAACTCATCTTCAAGCAATCTGCACTCCATGGCAGCATTTCAGTGGTGCCTTCTGAAGCTCACTCCATACCTGCAATATGTCAGAAACTTCTGAGTGGAGCAGCATATGATAGAACCATTGGATTCCAAACTCAGTATTTATGCTGGCTAGTTTTATGTCAGCTTGACCCAAGCTATATAGTCACTGGAAAGAAGGGAGCTTCAGTTGAGAAAACGCCTCCATAAGTTTGGCCTATAGGGTATTTTCTTATTCAATGATTGGTGTTGTGTGTGTGTGGGGGGGAGTCCATTATGGATGGTGCCATTATTGGACGTGTGGTCCTGGGCTCTCCAGCCATTTGTGCTAGGAGGGAGCAGCCTTATATACAGACTTACAGCACAGTGGAAAAACCCCAGGTGTAAGAGTTCGTGTCGTCATAATTAGAGGTTGATGCCAGTGGGGCAAGGTCGGGGCTGTAAGCCAGGACTAGAAAACAGGATGCACCTGTGGTTACTGGCTGACGAGAAACTCCAGAGACCCCGTGGGTGCTGGAGCCCAACAGGCTCTATAAAAAAGCAGGCTGAGAAAACCATGGGAAGCAAGCCAGTAAGTAGCACCACTCCATGGCTTCTGCATCATATCCTGCCTCCAGGTCCCTGCTCTGCTTGAGTTCCTGTCCTGATTCCCTTTGATGACAAACAGTGATGTGGAAGTGTAAGCCAAATAAACTCCCTGTGTTGCTCTTGGTCATGGTGTTCATCATAGCAATAGCAACCCTAACTAAGACAGTATCCAATGCCACATTTCTTTTTCTATAAAGTAGACCTGAAGTGATGTTACATAGTAATCTGTATAGGTGGGTCATACTTTATAAACACCTAAACAATGATACTTGTCAAGTTTGTAGCAAAAAAACAATATATACCACAATACAAATCAGTATCAACATATCTGATGTCCTTTCTTTGTCGGCAAGTTAATCTGCCATCAAGCCATCAAGTGACTTCTTTAAGAGCTATGCATGGGACTTACATAATAATGGCAGTGCTACCTACATAATTCAAACGTTCTGTAACTGGAAGGCTGGATGGTCAACACCAGCCACAGTAAGCTGGAGGCTGTGTGTGAGAAAACATGGCCTTTATTTTTGTTGTCATGGAATCTGCATTCAAACCCACATTGGGCCAGTACTCGAGATGCCATAATGGTGGCTGGATTTATCAGTCAGCTGAATCATGCAGTCTTACTTGGTTGTTCTCTGACAGAGGATACAAAGATTTTCAAACGTTGTGCCCATGTGTCTATTAGTCTGCCTTTCCCCTAGAACTACCTTGCCTGATCATTGTTTTTTTTCCCATGTAGGTCCTTAACCAATCAGTTAAGGCCTTTACAAGTTTTCACATACTAAGTCAGCCATATTTTTTTTCATAGAAAGTGACTGGATGGTACTTGAAGCTGTGCCACTGGGGAGATTAACCCCACTACTGTATATCAGTGCCACCTGCCGATGGTTTCATGGTATAGACATAGCCTACTTGGTATTGCCAACCCAACCTATCTACAATCTATGCTTCAACAGCTGCTCCTAAAAAATCTCCATACATAACTGTAGGTAGGCCATGAGGGGTGGGGGCTGATGAACTAGTGGTAAGTGACAGGGGTGGGACGGTGTGCTTATCCACCTTCTCAGCAGCTTACTTGTTCCCTGTGGTCCATGTTGCATCTCAGATCTACTATTTGATCATATTCTGGATTACTGTCCAACCTCATGACCTGACTGAATGACCAAAAGTCTTTTTACTACTCATGGAAAAATGCTGTCATCAAGATTATTTCCTTGAAAAAAATTCATGACATTTCTTGAGATTCTTGATATTTTAATTAAGATTATATGTGAACAGTATCAAAAGCTTAAAGTAAAAAAAAAGACATTACTTTTATATACTAGAAATCTGGAAGTATGTTCATTCGGAGACTGTTATTTCTTAATTAGTGAATTTCTTTAAATAATTTATTTAGTCTGTCCTTTTTGACTTTTGTTTTCCGTTAACCTGGACATGTCTGGCTCATCTGTCTGGATACCTGTTTGATTTTAGACACCCTTTTGGTTTCTGAGTGTTGTGGCAGAACTTTGTGTGCAAGGCTGAGAATCCTTGCTCAATGGAGAGGAAAGTAGAAAGAAACTGAGGTTAAAGTAATGCGATTATGTGATAGATGCTGTTTTTCTTTAGAGACCCAAAAGAAAAAAAGAAAAAGAAAAAGGAAAAGAAGAGGTAAGCCAGACTTTGCATGAATGCCCCTATATGTTTCTCTGCCTTGTATTATTTGCATATGGTAACAATATGTACTCAACTTTTCCAGCAAGGCAGATGATAAACATGAAAATAAGAAGGACCCAGAGAAGAAAAAGAAGAAGGAAAAGGAAAGAGAGAAGAAAAAGGAAGATAAAAGCAAAGATAAGAAAGAAGAGTAAATATTTTTTTTACTGGCCTTGAAAACAGGCATAAACTTGTAATGGGTTTTAGGCATAGGAAAAAATTCCCAAAGCATAGAAAATGCTTTGTAGCAAAGAGGCCCAGGTAAAGACAAATGTCCTTACATACTTAAGAACAAACATTTTGTATAAACTGCTATCAAAAGAGATTGAAAACTTTCTTCTAGGTACCCAAAAACTAGCAAGTATGAATTTTCTAACTAAGGATTTTTGCTGCACTGGCTAATTCTCTCTCACAAGCATCGCTGAGGAAGAACTTCCCACTAAATATTCAGGTTAATGATCCTTGGGTTCCTAGGAACTCATCAGTCTGAAAAGACAAAAATAAAAACTTTGTAATCTCATTAACATTTTGGAGCAGTCACTACTGTCTGTCAAGTGTCTCAAAGCCACGATGCTTTGACAACAGCACAGTGCATTCCAGATGCTGGCTCTTGAGGAACTCCTTTCCAAGCAGACAACTGAAATCTAGAATTTCCCAAGAGTAAGGCACAGTCATATTTGCAAAGTTTTTAAAGAAAAAAACTTACCAAAGATTACTTGTTCTCTGAACTTATTTATACAAAACAAGTTATCAAATAATCATTCAACTTTGTGTGCCTGTTCTGAAAATTGCTGGAGCTTGTGTAAGGAAAAAAATTCTTAAAGATACAGGCTTGGCACCAGAACATTTAAAAATGTCTATCTGGTCATGCGTTTCATCCCTTTATTCTTTATGCCCTCTCCTACCTCTCTCAAAGATCATTCCTGAAAACATTTCAGTATGTACTATACTAAATTGTGTTGCACTGCCTTTCTCTACAGATGAGTCACTGAATCACACCCATTCCCCAAACAGTGTATGTAGTTCATGGCCAATTTGCTTCCTGATAGGGGAAGGGAATTGATGGCAAAGTCACCATTCTATCAACATTAACCTTAGGATTGTTGGGAACTCTACAGTTTCCAGTAATTTGTGTCACTATTTGCACTCAGTGGTTGGGGGTTAGAACTGAATGCACCATTGGAGTAAATATAGGACTTTTGTAAAATTCTACCATATGGTTCTACATAAGACTTCTGATTTAAATATCTATTCATCCCTCACTAACCAGTTTTTTATGGTGAATATAACTATTGAGCTAATCTTCCTAAGTCAAGGGGATCCATCTTCTACTATATTAATCACGGGTGATGGATATAACCATGTTTGATATGGTAAATACAAACACTCCTGTTTTTTAATAATTTTCCTCTTTATTTCTAATTATTGCTAGGGAGAAGAAAGAAGTTGTGGTTATTGATCCTTCAGGAAACACATACTACAACTGGCTGTTTTGTATCACTTTACCTGTGATGTACAACTGGACGATGATTATTGCAAGGTTTATATTCATATTTTCTTGTGGATATCAACACACTTAGAAGTCTACCACCAACATACCTTGACCCAGGGCTCTTTGGGGCAAACTTCTTTTCCTCTACAACATGTAGGAAAAAGTGGCTGGCTGATTTTCAGTGCGTTTTCCTGAGGATGCCTTTGATTCTCAATGTACTTAGACATACATTCCTGGGACGGGATGGGGATGAGAGTACAAGGGTTCTTTCAAACTTCTGATTGTCCCATCATGGAATTCAGACATTGAGAGAAACTATAATTCTTGGCCTATCAGAAGAAAAATGTTGTCCATATGGAAAACAATGAAAGATCTGGTATTCTTTTAGAAACATCTCAGTTGTTCAAGGGTAGGAAGCTTTTGGCTACAGATAGGGATTACAAACTTTGTGATCACTGAGTTTCACCCAGTGAGATTTGACTTTAGCTTTAAGCCCTTTATTATTTTATGCATATATGTGGGGTATGTGTGTGAGGGTGCACAGGCGTGTGTGTGTGTGTGTGTGTGTGTGTGTGTGTGTGTGTGTGTGTGTATAGAGACCAGAAGTCAGCCTTGTGTGTCCTCAGGATGCTATCTACCTTGTATTTTGAGATAGTCTCTCACTGACCTGGAATTTGCCAATAAGACTAGGCTGGCTGGACAGTGAAACATGGGGGTACGCTCCTCTCTGCTTCTCTAGAGCTAGGATGACAAGCATGTGCCAACGCAGCAGTTTTGTTGTTGATGTTGCTGTTGCTAACGTGGGTTCTGAGGCCTGAACTCAGATCCTCATGCTTACACAGCAAACACCTTACCAATGGGAGTATCTTCCCAGCTGAAACAACTTATTCTTTGTTGTTGTTGTTTGCCAAGGGATTTCTCTGTGTGGCTCTGGCTGTCCTGGAACCCTCTCTGTAGATCAGGCTGGCCTTAAACTTAGAGATCCTCCTCTGCTTCCCAAGCGCTAGGATTAAAGGCATGAGCAATCACACACAGTTAATTCTTATCTGATGTCTATACAAGCCCAACTAGTATTGATGGAAAAGATGTTAGAATTGAGAAGTATGAGGGAACAAATTACAACCATCAAAGGAAGGATTTTGGAAAGCTGTGATTGATGAAATGTTTTCTAAAGACGCTTCTTTAGCATATTTATTTCTCACCATTAAAACATATACACAAAGGGCTTTTTATTTCAATTAGTCTTCCCTTTGTTTTATTGGTACATTGTTTTCTTTTACAGAGCATGCTTTGATGAACTTCAGTCTGATTACCTAGGATACTGGCTCATTTTTGATTACGTATCAGATATAGTCTACCTTGTTGATATGTTTGTACGAACAAGGACAGGTAGGTGTGCCCTGCTTCAGGCCTTCTGAAATTTCTTGCTTTTATCTCTACCATATAATAAAATTTCCATACCTAACTGTTCTTCCAGGTAAACTCACAACCTCAGATGAAAACACCAGTGGCATGTTCCCACTCACTGCTAGGACACCTTAATTTTTTTTAACCTTTATTTTTTTATTTTTTGGTTTTTCGAGATAGAGTTTTTCTGTATTGGAGGCTGTCCTGGAACTCCCTCTGTAGATCAGGCTGGCCTCGAACTCAGAGACCCGCCTGCCTCTGCCTCCCACATGCTGGGATTAAAGGCATGTGGTACCAATGCCCGGCTTTTTTTAACCTTTATTTTTATTTTGTGTATAGGGGTGCTGTGCCTGCTGTATGTCTGTGTACTATGTGCATACAGTACCCAAGATGGCCAGAAGAGGGTGTCAGATCTCCTTGATATAGAGTTACAGACTGTTATGCGTTGCCATGTGGGTGCTGGGGATTGAATTCACGTTCCCTGGAAGAACAGCGAACTCTAAGTAATTTCTGAGTGTGGATTAGTAGTTTTCCTCCATTATCCTAGTCACTGGGTTTATGCTAGGCAGAAGAATAAGTAACTAAAATATAGTCAGTCTCAGTGGGTAAAGGGCAATTGCTGCCATACATGGAGGTACTTTAAAAGGCACAAAGAAGAGTCTTGGTTAATTTACGTTTTCAAAGCAAGCAAGCCTAAGTTATTGGCTGATCTTTTATAATTATTGGGAACTGGCTGGTAGGACACCGAAAGTCTGACTACATTGCTCCCTAAATGTCGGCGCAGTGCTCAGTTGCCAGAGCTTGCTTGCAGCTTCTCCGCTGTAGGAGAAGAAACAAACTCTCTTCCTCATACAAGGCTTCAACACAGCCCAGAAGAGAAGATCCTAGGTGATGAAGGGCAGCCTGGCGGACAAGAGTAAGAAGTGAAAATGCAGTCTGAAAAGACATTCATATTTGACACTGAATGTGAAAACCATGATGATGCAAACAGTGAGATAACAGGGCAGGCGCTCATACTCCGAGAGCAGGCCTAGAAGTCTGCCAAGGAGTAGCCTGAGCTATTAAACATCTGCAACACCAGCTACAATTTCATTGGTTCTAAAGCTAACCAGAGTTAGTCAGACCATGCAAATTAAGGGCTGGGTCTCATGAGGCTCTTCCTGAATTCAGATATCAGGGACACGACTCAACTTGTGTTTCTGATCAAATAGCTATACATTAGGGCTCCCATAATCCCTTCTTAGGACCTATTGGCTAGCATGGCTCACTGAACCACCCCAAACCACATTTGATAGTTTATTCTATTAATAAAGGATGTGATAAAAGGTATAGATGAAAAGGCAGATGCAGAGGTACAGAGGACAAGTGTGGAAGGGCTTGAGAGCAGGAGATTTTATCCTCGTGGAGTTGGGTTATGACATTCTTCTAATACCCTACATTTGCTCTCTCACTTGGATGGTCTCTCACCACCAAAGCCAATTATTTTTAATGGAAGGCTTTGTCATATAGTGGTAACAGAATATTAAGTTCCTCTCCAGAACCTCTTTCCCTGGAGGAAGTAGGGATGGAGGTTGAAAATGTCATTTGTAAACATAGTATTTTTGGTGACCAGTGCCATCTAGGAGCCTACAAAAAGTTGCCTCATAGAACAAAGACACTCTTACTAAGCAAGGAACTCAAAGCACTCTGGAATTCTGCATCAGGAGTTGAGGCCAAGTCCAAATATCAGAACAAAAGATACAGCTAATATTTTGGTTTCTCAGGAAATCATAAGGATTTTAATAGTGGTATAACAGAAATTGAGGACAGGAATCATATGTGTAACTTATAATTATACTGTAGAATATGAATGTAGTTCATCAAAGAAATGATTTTACCCAAGTGGGTAAAATCATATATTAATCAATTAATCAATCATTCTATATATCTACCTATTTATCTATCTGTATATTACTTTTACATTAAAAAGTGTCATTTTTCTATTTCTACAATAGACTCTTCTATAACCGCACATAGGATTGGTTTTAGGAGTTATTGTATAACTAAAGATATACTTATTTAAAAGTATTCTTATTTTGCCCCAATCAAAGCTAATAGTTACTATAGAAAAAAATCACAGTGGCAGAGCAAAGAGAAACAGTCGGGCTTTTCTCTTTTCTATTGTAGGTTATCTGGAACAAGGATTGCTAGTGAAAGACAAGATAAAACTCATAGAGAAGTATAAAGAAAACTTGCAGTTTAAACTTGATGTTCTGTCAGTGGTACCAACAGATCTGCTATATTTCAAGATGGGGTGGAACTATCCAGAAATTAGATTAAACCGGCTGTTAAGGATCTCTCGAATGTTTGAGTTCTTCCAGCGAACAGAAACAAGGACCAACTATCCGAACATCTTTAGGATTTCCAACCTCGTCATGTACATTGTCATTATTATCCACTGGAATGCTTGTGTGTACTACTCCATCTCGAAGGCTATTGGATTTGGGAATGACACATGGGTCTACCCTGATGTTAATGATCCTGAGTTTGGTCGTTTGGCTAGAAAATATGTCTATAGCCTTTATTGGTCTACACTGACTCTGACAACCATTGGTGAAACTCCACCTCCTGTGCTGGATTCTGAGTACGTCTTTGTGGTAGTTGACTTCTTAATTGGAGTTTTGATTTTTGCCACCATTGTCGGTAACATAGGTTCCATGATTTCCAATATGAATGCAGCCAGGGCAGAATTTCAAGCAAGAGTTGATGCTATCAAACAATACATGAATTTCCGAAATGTGAGCAAAGATATGGAAAAGAGGGTTATTAAATGGTTCGATTACCTGTGGACCAACAAAAAGACAGTTGATGAGAAAGAGGTCTTAAGATACCTGCCTGACAAACTAAGGGCAGAAATTGCTATCAACGTTCACTTAGACACATTAAAAAAGGTACGCATCTTTGCTGACTGTGAAGCTGGTCTATTGGTGGAGTTGGTGTTGAAACTACAACCCCAGGTGTACAGCCCTGGAGATTATATATGCAAGAAAGGGGACATTGGGCGAGAGATGTACATCATCAAAGAAGGCAAACTTGCTGTGGTAGCCGATGATGGAATCACACAGTTTGTGGTGTTGAGTGATGGCAGCTACTTTGGTGAGATCAGCATTCTCAATATCAAAGGCAGCAAGGCTGGCAACCGCAGGACAGCCAATATTAAAAGCATTGGTTACTCAGACCTGTTCTGCCTCTCGAAAGACGACCTCATGGAAGCTCTGACAGAGTACCCAGATGCCAAAACTATGCTGGAGGAGAAAGGGAGGCAGATCTTAATGAAAGATGGTCTACTGGATGTAAACATTGCAAATCTGGGCAGCGACCCTAAAGACCTGGAAGAGAAGGTCACACGAATGGAGGGGTCAGTCGACCTCCTGCAAACACGATTTGCCCGCATCTTGGCTGAATATGAGTCGATGCAGCAGAAACTAAAGCAAAGATTAACCAAAGTGGAGAAATTTCTGAAACCACTTATTGAAACAGAATTTTCAGCTCTTGAGGAACCTGGAGGAGAGAGTGAGCTCACAGAGTCTCCACGGGACTGAAAAGCTGGACACCAGTGGAAACATGCACATCTCAGAATCTTTTTGAGCACTTGACCAGAGACAACTGAAGAAAACTGGAAAACAGATTCATTTGGGAAATTTTTCTAACAGAACAATGTGTGTGGATGGATGATGTGTAGTACCACAATTAAAGAAACATCTAACCCTGGGATTGTTTTTTCACAATGGGTCGTGTGCAAGGACATGAACTGATTACCTGTGTCAGGACCTGCTTTTTTTCCTCACAGATGCTCTTTTTCTGTACTAATCTTTGTGAATCGGTATGTCTTACTGTCAAGTCACTTGCATTGTTGACTCAGGTGTATTCAGTGTAACTGTGTGCACTGTGTTTGAGGTACTGTTTTATAAAGAATTAGAATGCAATAAAGTGAAATTGATCACAAAACCAGAGTAAATGTGGTTTATTTAGTGACTAAGAAGGGAATAAGTAGCATCTTGCAGAGTTTCTTTCACTTTAAGGATACTTGACTTTGTGGTAATATAAGTCTGGAAGGGTGATTGAGGGTAACTTCTTTGTTTGTTTGTTTTTGTTTTGTTTTCTGAGACAGGGTTTCTTTGTATTGTTTTGGAGGAGGCTGTCCTGGAACTCACTCTGTAGACCAGGCTGGCCTCGAACTCACAGAGATCCACCTGCCTCTGCCTCCGGAGTGCTGGTATTAAAGGTGTGAGCCACCAATGCCCGGCTGAGGGTAACTTCTTACTGATAGAGGCATAATAAATCAGATTTTATGATAAGAAAATATATGTGCACACAAGTATTACAATGTTTATTGACATCACAAGATGATGTAGGAATCTTTTAATGCTAAATTTAAGGAGTTCTCAGAGTATTAAGGCTTGATAACATTGGCTGTTATCTTCCTTTTCTGTCCTTAGAACTAAGTAAGAAAAATGGACAAGTGCAATACTGTTGGATGATTAACCAGGGCAAGTGTCATGTCAGAAAAGGAGACCTGAATGTTCTATGGGCCAGTAAGAAGCTTCCTGGAAATGCAGAACAGCAAGGTTTTGCTGCAGTGACAGAGTGCTTGTTTAGTGAGTACAAGGCCCTGGGTTCTACTGCTAGCATTAGAGAGCAGAGGTGAGAAGAGAAGAGGAGAAGGGGGAGAATGAGGAGGAAACAATCCTTTAACCTATACACTGTACCTCTGCAGTCCTACATTTCCCTTCTAATTTTTCTTGCCCCTTCAGTATCAGCCAGCATATGTTTCTTCACAACAGAGGAAACGTATTGGTCCTCAGGTAGGTACATCATACATATGTAATATGTATAACCAAGTTATTGCCTGAAACAAGTCATCACCATTCCTCTCTTCCTCCTTCCCCTCTTCCTCTTTCTCCTCCTCTCTCTACTTATCCTCCTTCTCTTCATGTGGTGGGATAGGAATGAGCACTGCATTGCTGCATTCCTTGCTTAAGTTAGCTCCTGAGAAGCACTGTCAACATCAGGGCGAAAGGATGCTTTTGAGTCTTATCTGGGCTAGATAACTCCAAAGTTTTATTTGGCTACCTACAATCTCAAGCGGATGCTTCCATGGACTGCTGATAGATATCTGGTCAATAGCTTGAGGTAAGGAATTACACAATTATTTTTTTATGGCTCCTCTAGGGAGAGGGCTCTGCTCTCCTACAGAGTTTTGCTACAGAGACTAACAGAGACTAGCTAAGCTTGCCTCCTTGTTCAGCTATGCACAATGAAACCACCTTCTCAATTCAGGTGTATAAAACAAATGCATTGAGTTTTTGGGTTGATGCTGGTGCATTTCCATCAGAGTGAACAGTCCACACAATCCCAGCTTTTCTGTATGTGTGTCTCTTCCTCATTCCCTGTTGCTTCAGTTAGGTCAATCCCTAAGCAATGCAGGTCATGGCAAATGACCATGGCAACTTTTAGAAGGAAGGGTTTATTTGGGCTTATAGTTCCAGAGGTATAAGAGTCCCTCAACATCACAACAGGGGATCAGGGCAGCAATCAGGCATGGCAGCAGAAACAGCTAAAAGCCCAAACCACAAACAAGAAGCTGAGAGAGCAAACTAGGAATGGTGCCAGACTTTTGAAACCTAGAAGCCTGCCTCCAGTAACACATTTCCTCCAGCAAGACTGTACCTCCCCAAGATCCCTAACAGTGTCACCAACTGGAGACCAAGTACTCAAACACCTAAGACAATAGGGGACACCACAGCCAAACACCAGTCCCCAAACTTTGATCCATTGATACCAAACAACTCATACCTTCACAAGTTACTTCATATTTTAAAAACCATAGAAATTTTACATAAATGATGAATTTATCTAGGTTCCTTATTAATACATGCAAATCATGTTTATACAGAAGTCAGGAGCGGAATCATTAATGGATACATTCCTTCTGCCATAGGTGGGAACCAAAAGTGTCAGGACTCACTATGCTAGTCTACTGTTACTTGACTTGCTTTTGTTCAGAAAGCCACGTACAAGATGTTGTCCTACTTGTCACCACCTCTTAGTTTTGTCTGGTAGGCCAAGATAAGCTCCCATGGCTACTCAAAGCCTTGGAAAATGCCTTGTGATTTTTTAAATCATCATAACATATGGATTCTATGTCATGTAATATCAACATTGCCATGCTGAACTGAAGGAATCAGTTAATAAAAATGAAACAATTTACTACAAATTAAATAAAAAGGAAGGGAAGAAAAATGTCATAGTCCACCCGCCCACTTTTGCCTCAGCTTTACTGATGAGAAAAAATGTAATCTATACGACTTACTAAACAACTAAAAATAAAAGGCAAAATAGTCATCACAGAAACACATCGAGAAGCCCTTAGGTTACACAGCCACAACCTCTATATGTATGGTATCTGGTTTTCCTCAAAAAATCTGGCAATAGGGAAACAGAGATGCCTCAGTGGTTTAAGAGCTCTTGCTGCTCTTGCAGAGGACCTACGTTCAATTCCTAGGACCCACATCAGGAGCTTATAACTGTGCTCCAGTTGCAGCTTATCTGACGCCTTCTGACCTTTGTGGGCACCTGCATGCATGTGGTGCACATAAACTCATGCAGGCACACATATATACACAAATAAAAATAAATCTTAAAAAAACTGGCAGTAAGTACTATCTGGAAGATCTGCAAACCATATTGAAACAATGCTGCTGGTTTGCATTTTGAAGATTTGAAGAGTCTAGCTAGAATTTTCAATATTGTCTCACCATACAATAACTGTTTCCTAATGATTACTGCTTAGTTTTCTTTCCTAGTCATGTTACCAATGCTTTGGTGAGAGACTACATGTGGTAATATCTTGCTTGTACAAGTAAAGCCTGTCTGAGGGTCAGAGAATGACACTTGCCACTAGCTAACCATAGAGTTCTAGAGGTCAGTACATATACAGAGGGGAATGCTGAGAGATCAGAGAGAAGGAGCAAGCCATGGCACACCTTACCTCCTTAGCATCTCAGCAGACAAGTGCACAATTTCATATTTCTGCCAAGCTACCTCACTTCCTGTGCAGACCTCCAGACCTCTATGGTTAGCTAGTAGCAAGCTCCATTCTCTGACCCTCAGAAAGGCTTTTATTTGTACAAGCAAGATCTCACCACAACTAAATCATGTCCTCAGCTGAGTTAAGTGCTCTGCATGTGAAGGATGTTCAATAAACATGGGAAGCAGAGTTGATGCTATGCATACACGTTTCTGTGAAATGTCAAAGACAGTGCAATGGTGTGTTTAGCCTGTGATAGTAGATGGTCCATAAGGATGATGTTCTTCCTAGTTTTATGTACACGTGACACAAGATGTAGTGATCTGAGAGGAGGGAACCTTGGTTGAGAAAATGCCTTCGTAAGATTGGGCTATACGTAAGCCAATAGGGCATTTTCCTAATTAGTAATTGATGGGAGGGTCCAGTCATTGTGGGTGGTGCTATCCCTGGGCTGGTGGTCATAGGTTCTAAAAGAAAGCAGGCTGAGCAAGCCATGACAAGCAAGCAAATAATGTGCATGCCTCTGTGAACTTTGCAGCAGTTCCTGTTTCCACGTTCCTGCCCTGCTTGAGTTCCTGTCCTGACTTCTTTGATAATGTCTGGTTCTCAACCTTTTCTAATGCCATGGCCCTTTAATACAGTTCCTTGTGTTCTGGTGACACCATAAAATTATTTCTTTATTACTTCAAAACTGTAATTTTGCTAATGTTTTGAATTGTAAGTATCAGATTTGCAGGATATCTGATATGCAACCCCCGAAAGGGTCACAACCCATAGGCTGAGAACCACTGCATAATGAACAGTGGCATGGATGAGTAGGCCAAATAAGCCCTTTTCTCCCTAAATTGCTTTGGTCATGGTGTTTCATTACAGCAATAATAACCCTATCTAGGACATATGAGCAAGGGAAACTTTAAGTAGAGGATGATGGCAAAACTGTGGAGCACAAGGCAAAATTGAGTCAAATGCTTTATTGGAGAGTGATGATGTAGTCTGTGGACAGTCCAGGGTTCTGGCTTCCCTCACCTTTGGAAGAAGAAGAGAGGTCAGAGGATTGGGCTGCTGCTGCTTCCTCCTCTTCCTCTTCTTCTTTTTTTTGGTTTTTCGAGACAGGGTTTCTCTGTGCAGCTTTGGAGCCTATCCTGGAACTAGCTCTTGTAGACCAGGCTAGTCTTGAACTCATAGAGATCCACCTGCCTCTGCCTCCCAAGTGCTGGGATTAAAGGTGTGGGATTAACTGGCATTCTTAACCCAAGTGGTGGTGCTGGTTTCTTGCATCATGTGATCCAGCAGAGAGCCATCCATCATTATGAAGTACTTGAAACTCCCTGTCTTAGGGTTTTATTGCTGTGAAGAGACACAATGATCACAGCAACCCTTATAAAGGAAAACATTTAACTGGAGTTGGCTTACAGTTCAGAATAGTCCATTGATATCATGGCAGGAAGCATGGCAGTGCACAGGCAGACATGGTGCTGGAGAGGTAGCTGAGAGTTCTAAATCCAGATTGGATCTGGCTTGAGCTTCCAAAACCTGGTAGCCTATCTCCAGTGACAAACTTCCCCCAACAAGGCCACACCTACTCCAACAAGGCCATGCCTCCTAATAGAATCACTCCTTATGATCCTATGGGGGGGGCCCTTTTATTCAAACCACCACACTTCCAGACAGCTATTTTCTTAGTGTGCCAAAAATATATGATCTTGGGCTGGAGAGATGGGTCAGAGACTAAGAGCACTGGCTGCTCTTCCAGAGGTCCTGAGTTCAATTCCCAGCAACCACATGGCGGCTCACAATCACCTGTAATGAGATCTGGTGCCCCTCTTCTGGTGCACAGGCATACATGCTGGCAGAACACTGTATGCATGATAAATACATCTTTAAAAAATAAATATCTGATCTTCTGATAGTGCTTAAAAATATTTATTTATGCTGTGCAGTGGTGGTGCATGCCTTTAATCACAGCACTTGGGAGACAGGAAGTTGACTGACAGTCACCCTGGGCAGTATTCAGAGCATAGAAAACCTCAAAGCCTCCCCCCACAATGACACACCTCCTAATAGTGCCACTCCCCTTGGGGGGACCAATTTCTTTCAAATCACCACACCACTTCACATGGATCAATACTTTTCCATGAACATACAATGCTGTCGATATAAAATTGCAAACACAATTTGAATTTATTATGCATAATTTATTATACACATATTTATAGTATGATCTTAATGTTTAGTGATAGCCAAAGGTGTAGTAGACAGCAGAAACCAGAGTAGTGGCTACTTCTTCTATTGGGGACAGATGACAGTAGGCTGGAAAGAAGGTGACAAATGCATAAAGCTTTAATTGTATGGGCTGCTTTACATCTTTTTAAAAAATCTGAACTGGGATTGGTATGCAAAAAAAATAAAAGGGAAAATATGAAGCCAATTAATATTAATGCTGAGCTTTGGCAAAGCTAGGTACATCTCTGTGACAATCACTCTCACTATCGGTGTAGGTGATTTATTTTGAAAGAAAAGAAAAGAGAAAAGGAACGGGAGAATTATTTAAGAACCTGCACAGCTAGTTTAGTGGCTGAGCCTGGACTTTTGACACAGATTCAATGTTTGTGTGTCTTTGCAGTTGGACTTGATTGCTTCCTCCAAAGATGTTTATGGATTTCTGCTTAGTGACAATGTAGCAGTCATCTGCATGTTTCTACTTCAGGCTTATCAAGAGTCTATGCTGGGTGATTTTGAGATGATGTTTTCTAGAATTATATTTATGTCTGGCTTTTGTCTTCCCAACTAGTTAGGAGGTGAAGGAATGCATTTTTTCACTAACATTCCTTTGCAGCTTCTGAAAAATATCAATTTATCAGAGAATTACCCACCAGCCTGACAGTGTTGGCTCTTCAAAACGGTTGATATTGGATATCTCGTCAGATTGCCAGTTTCTCCTCTTTCCAATTAGGCTCAGTTTTGCTTTATCTGGGTTCAGCTTCTGTCACTGGACTTGGTCCAAGACATTACTTGTGTTAGTTCTTTGGTTTGTCACAAAGATTCCTGATGCTGAGGAGCACAGGTATGTGGTGATATGAAGGTCTGTGGTGTACCAGGTTCTTCCTTGTTGACTTCGCTGCTTAGTCTCCGAGAAAAATGGACAGATGAGTCCATATGGCACCTAGACTGTGAACATCTGACCACACGTGCCAACAGTTCTCTACGGTGGGATATAACTTCCCATCTATTTTAAATGTAACAAGGCACTCTTTAAAAAAAAAGATTTATTTATTTATTGTGAGCTGGTGTTTTGCCTATGTATATTCTGTGTGAGGTCACTGGATCCTCTAGAACTGGAATAACAGATAGCTGTGAGCTGTGGGAATTGAACCGGGGTCCTCTGGAAGAGCAATCCATGCTCTAAACCGCTGATCCATCTCTCCAGCCCCAACAAAGCACTCTTAGCTCTTTAGTTTGCAAAGATACTAATATTAGTAGATCTAATTGCATATTTTATTCAATTCAGTTAAACAAATGCCCAAAGAACATAATGTATGTAAAATGATCAAAGACATGTACTACAATAAAGTAATCTGAAATTTGCTGCTATTGCATTTATTTTTATCAGATTAGCTAAGCAGCAAGCCATGGGGATCCACTGTCTCTCCTCTCTAGGGCTGGGATTACACACATGCCCTTTGTGCCTAACTTTTTAGTTGTAAGTGCTGGAGATCAAACTCAGGTTCACATATTTGCATAAGCACTTTATCTGCTGTGCAATTACCGTAGCTCCTACTTCTCTTGTTAAAAATGTAATTAAAAGTCTGTGTTTAAAATGTTGAAATGAATCATCAACTTTATTTGTATCTCAAAACTAGATACTTTGGATATAGTATTACTCTAGCATTAGGTTCAACTGCCAAACCAAGACAACAATGGCTTAGTAAATCCAGGAACTTACATTTTACACAGGACACATTTTATATTTGTATTTCATACTGAAATTCAGAGAGAGGCATGTGAGGACTGCCATAACATTTTGCTGAATGGAATCCCTCGGAATCAAGCCCCTTCTCTCTGCTAGCTTAGGTATGATTGGCCTCCACTCCTAAAATCACCCTACAGTCTGAGAAGAGGATCCCGCTCCTGCCATCTGTTCACACTTTTGACACGAAAGGAGGAATGAGGCAAGCACACTCTTCAGTCTTCTCAGGGCACATTTCAGCAGTCATAGACTTTCTTTCACTTACTTGTTTTACTCATCAAAACTTACTTGTACAGTTAGACCTGGCAGCAAAAGATGCAGGTTCAACATAGTCTTCATTATGGGATATACTACATATGTGTAATTCTATATGGATTAATGCCCCCATAGATTTGGTGGTTTGGTAGCAAAGGAAGAAGGCAGATGTTTCTGCTTCATTTGAATCCTTGACGAGAAGACTGAATTGTCCCTGCTCCCCGTTTTAGCAGCCATGACAGGCTATCGTGTGCTTTTCTGACCTTGCCTCTCTTGTCCTGGTCACTGGGAGGTCAGGAGCCAATCAGAAGTTAGCTGGTGGTGCTGTGCTTTATGGCTCTGGGTGTGCTTTACAGACAAGTGCACAACAGTGATGAGCATAGCAACCACCCTGGGAGGGCCTATGGGCCATAACAACCAGTTGACCAATCAACACAGAGCATCAGAATGGGTCTCTTGGTGATTTTGGGGGTTCAGAATTTGGGCACAACAACCCCTTTAATCCTATCACTAGGGAAGGATAAAAGAAGCAAAGGGTCTCACATGGGATTCAGTTTCCAGACAGGGAAAGCATCGACTCTGAGGATTCAGGGAGACAGGATTACTCATTTCAGTCTGAGGTAGAGGTAAGAGCTAGTGGCTGGCTGCTTTGCCTCTCTGATCTTCAGCTTGAACCCCAATATCAGTCTCTGGGTTTTTATTATTTGTGTTACAATCCACCTCTTGGGGGCCCCTTTTAAGGAATAAAATCACAAGTAGTTTTACAGAAGGGAAACAATGGGGCAATAAGGAAATACAAAAAAACCTTAAAAAATCATATGGTCACCTACTATGTGATTAGGGAGGGGTCAGGGAGGGTGAGGGTATTCACCAAAACAAATAATGGTCATGGGTTTCAGAAGAAGATCAGGTTCAGGGAAACAGAGCAACTCAACTCTCACAATAAATAGATTTTGTTTTGTTTTGTTTTAGAAATACAGCATAATGGCTCCTACCTTCAAAATGGAGTCAGGAGTCAGACAGTTTCCTCAAAATATGATGAAATTTTGGTATATTTCTGATATGAAATTCTTTAAAGAAATAGCAAAATGTTAGTTGTTTTGTTAAAATTATTTCATTCCCATAACATACACATTATAAATACTTTGAAATACCATAATTCTGAGCATTACTAAGAACAGCAAGTTGTTTCCTAGAGTTACACGCATTTTAGCCTGATCTGAAAAATCAACCTGGCTACTTAATGTTTCTAATTATTCTCTGCCCCATCTATGGGTGAACTGTTTCTAATGTTTCCTTGAATGGAAAATTTGAATGAGAATGACCCCACAGGCTATATATTTGAACACAGTCCCCAGGGAGTGGAAGTATGGAAAGAATTAGAGGATTAGGAGGTGTGGCCTTGTTAGAACAGGTGTGGCCCTGCTGGAGGAAGTGTGTCACTGTGAGTAGATTTTGAGGTTTCAGAAGCCATACCAGTCTCAGGCTATAACCCTTTCAGCCTTTCCTGCCATGATGACAATGAACTAAATCCCTGAAACTGTAAGCCAGCTCTCAATTAGATGCTTTCTCTTACACGGTGGCTTGGTCACAGCCACAATAAGAACAATAACTAAGACACATATTATCTTTTATTTCCTTCATAACACTTTCTTTCCTGCCCCTAGTTTCATTGGGCTGCATTGGAATTTGAAGGGACATTGTGTTATGAATACAGAATGAGATGGGATCTTTAGTCAGTTCCATGGCAGGTGAATGATAAACTGCCATTAGGCAGGACTTATGTGGAATGTGTATTGGGGGAAGGGAATAAGAGAAGAGAGAGAGGGGAGAGAGACAGTTAGGGATCTACCTCCTCAGAAGAAGTGGCAGACAGCAGCAGTGGGCGGAGCTTGCCTCTTAAAAGGACTTTTGCACCTGCTTACAGAGCCAGGGTACTGCCTGTCATGTATGCCAGGTCCCCAAGGGGCAGCGGCAAGTTTGTGTATGCCTAGTTGATAACGCATTGGTATAACATATATAGTGTCATTATCATTGTAGACCCAGATGGGACTAGAAAACACATAGTGGGTTAAGTTTAATATAAAGAATTTTAAAATTCTAATAAAGGAATGATCATAAGGAAGTTGCTTTATTTTGCTTTCTTGTTTTATTGTGGTGCTGGTGATCTTATCAGTATGAGGCCTCCTGCAAACTAGGGCGGTACTCTACACATCTGTTACACATCTCCAGATGCTGTATATTGTATTAGAAAGCTGAAGGAGACTACCAACGGAAACACGAAGTGACTCTTTGCAACACTGGAATCCAGATCTTATCAGAAATGGTATATGTTAGCATCCAGGCACACCTTGGCCCAGCTGCTTGCAGACCTGGCCTAGTGCATTGCTCCTGTATGTATGGCAGGCAGTACCCTGTCTCTGTATACAGGCACTAAAGTTAAGAGACAAGCTCTGCCCACTACTGCTCTTTCTTTCCCATGGTTCCTCTGAAGAGGCAAGGTCTTTGCCTCTCCCTTTCTTCTCTCTCTCTCTCTCTTCCCTCTCTTCCTCTCCTCCCTTTCCTCCCTCCAATACAACTTCCCAAGTAACCACTGCTTGCATGGAGTGTTTGTCCTCACCCTACATGGGCCTTCCTGCAAAGGTCCCACCAGTGCCGAATCATAATAGTATAGTTTTGCACAAAGGATAACAGAAGAGATGGGCGGTCTGTTCTTTACAGAGCCAGTCTACAGGGAAAGCAGGGAGTAAGCTTTTGGAGTGCTAACAAGGGCAAATTGTTGTGCCCAAATTCTGAACCCCCAAATCACTAAGAGGTCCATGTCCATGCAAAAGCAAAGAGTCTTTCATTATAGTTGTTTAATAAGCTAACTCCATTAGCTCGGTCCTTTCATTCATTAAGGCAGAGGATGGCTGGAGAAAAGACCCCCCGAGAAACCACCAAGTGGGGATCTTTTTTTTAAACCACCAGAAAATAAAACTGCTTTTTATTTTCTGATTTTGCTTTTTTTCCATTTTTTTTTATTTAACTTTTTACGCATGTCACTTTCAGTTCCCTCTCCCTCCCCTCCTCCCCTATCCCCCAATACTCCCAACTCCTTATCCCCCACTTTATTCTCCCTCCGCTCCCCAGGGAGGGCAAGGGCCTCCATGAGGGATTTTCAGAGACTGTCACATCATCCCAGGAAGGGCCTAGGCTCTTCCCCATGTGTGCAGGCTGGGAGAGCATCCCTCCACGTGGTATGGGTTCCCAGAGTCCCTCTGTATGCCAGGAATAAATACTGCTCCACTCTCCAAGGCCCCACAGATTGCCAAGGCCTCCTCTCTGTCACCCAGGTTCAGTGGGAGGATGTCTGGATCAGTCCCATGCTGGCCCTCCAATCATCAGTCTGGGGTCCATGTGATGCCCCTTGTTTAGGTCAGCTGCCCCTGTGGGCCTCGACAGCCCGATCCCGATTCCCTTGGTCATCACTCCTCTTTGCAACTGGGCTCCAGGAGTTCAATTCGGTTCACAGCTGTGGGTGTCTGCCTCCGTCTCCATCAGCCACTGGATGAGAGTTCTAGGATGGCATATAAGGCAGCCATCATTCTCACCATCATGTGAGGGCATTTAGGTAGCCTTAATGCCAGTTGGTGTCATTCCTGAAGATCTGTGAAGATCTTACTAGTGCCAGATCTCTCCTCCAACTTACAATGGCTCCCTCTTTTCTGATATTTCCCATCCGTTTCTGCTCTATTTTTACCCTGGCTCAACCTTCCTGCTCTCCCGTGTTGTCCTCTCTCCTCCTCTTCTCTCCCTCTCTTTCTCCCATCTCCTTCTGCCCTCCCCTTCTCTCCCTCCCCAATCTAATTAGGAGATTGCATCCCCTAACCCTTCTCTGGGTTACCATGCATATCTCTTAGGGTCTTCCCTGCACCCCAGACTCTCTGGCGGTGGGATTGTGGGCTGGCAATGCCCTCCTCCATGTCTAAAATCCATATATGAGTGAGTAGGTACCATGTTTGTCTTTTTGTGACTGGGATACCTCACTCGGGATGGTTTCTTCTAGTGCCATCCATTTGCCTGCAAATTTCAATATTCCATTTTTTTTCTTCTGAGTAATACTCCATTGTGTAAATGTTTCACATTTTCTCTATCCACTTTTCAGTTGAGGGGCATCTAGGTTCTTTCCAGGTTCTGGCAATTACAAATAATGCTGCTATGAACACAGTCAAGCAGATGTCCTTATTGTATGAGGGTACATCTTTTGTTTATATGCCTAAGAGTGGAATTGCTGGATCTTGCAGTAGACTGATTTCCATTTTTCTGAGGAATCTCCATACTGATCTCCAAAGTGGCTGCACAAGTTGGCATTCCCACCAGCAGTGGAGGAGTGTACCAAGTGGGGATCTTATAGGGCAGCGTAAGGGACTGTCTTGGGGTACGCAACAGTCTCAGGATTGGTGCACGTCCAGGCTTGGACAACCTGCTCTGTGTTGATTGGTCAACTGGTTGTTATGGCCCATAGACCCTCCCAGGGTGGTTGCTATGCTCATCACTGTTGTGCACTAGTCTGTAAAGCACACCCAGAGCCACAAAGCACAGCCCTGCCAGCTAACTTCTGATTGGCTCCTGACCTCCCAGTGACCAGGACAAGAGAGGCAAGGTCAGAAAAGCACACAATAGCCTGTCATGCTGCTAAAACGGGGAGCAGGGACTGGTCCCTTCAAAATGATGGCAAGTGGGGGAGTGGGAGTGCTGAGTGGGGACCTTAGAATCCAGTGGGCTGTACCTGATCTGCAGTGGATTCGGTACCAAGCACAGAGCCAGGAGAAGCATCGGTAGTAAAGAGAGTGGTGGATCAGGTGTGAACGGGAAAAGAAGGACTTTCGACCAGTTTCTGAGTTAAAGGAAATGTATTGTCAGGCCGGGCAGAGCTGCAAGTGAGTGATCTGCTGCTGGGCAACCACCTCCATACAACACCAGGAACCCACCATACCTGCAATGTCTCCCTAGCACCTTCTATTGAGACAATGTAAAATGACACTCAGGATGTCAGGGTCACAGGACATATATATTGGACCATGAAGAGATAGGCAAGACATTCATAACTGGCAGTGTTTAAGTAAAGATGTACATGTAAAAGATAACTACGTTTGAAGAATTGAGTATAGAAACTCTGGCAAAACAAATCCAAATAAGGACAATATGTCACTACGGCAGTCAAATTGCATTGTCAAATGGCTGGGCAACAGGCTTATCAAGGAATATTATTTCTCTAGACTTAGTTTGGAATGTTTTAAAACTGGAGGAATTATGCACATTTAGTGAATGGTGCAAGTCACAAATACATAAGTGAGGAGTTATCATGTCTGTACATGTCTGTGAAGCATTCCTCGTATCAGTACAAAACGTTTCCACAACCAGGGTAACTAATCTTCACAGACGAAGTCTTAATTCCACCAGAAGTGAGCAGTAATCTACCTTCTCACACTTGCTCAACAAGTTCGTAACAATGGAACTGCAACTACTGTTACTTTAATACATACTTTTAAATATATCCCTGTGATTCATCTCGACATATTATACATGAAAAATTTAAATATGTGTAAATACATATATATACAAATGCAACATATGTGTAAATATTTTGTGCACTACTGGACCCATTAAATGGCATCTATTAGATGCTTGTTGTAAATGCTGGGGAATTAATTAAGTTGGAGGGTAATTTAACGATTGCATAATCCCAAATATCAACCAAAATTCTGCTCGGTCCCAGACGGAGCACTAAATCAATTTCTGTAATCTATACATGTGTTATTGCATACTCAGTACAGTCTAAAGATTAGCTCTTGGCTCTCAGTTATTTTCCTTAATGAAACATACTTGAGGGAGCAGTCTTGAAGGTAAAATAAGACGTCTCCAGGGGAACGCTCGTTAAACTAGTAAAGACGGTAATAACAGGCGTTTGATTTCTTTGGTCGTTCACAAGGGACCTTTCTCGACTCAAGCTACTTCGCTAGCTTGCCTGACCCAGTTTCCCACGGCGACCACAGTATCTTCTTTGTAAGAACTTCCAGGACGAGAATCTTACCGTCACCTGCAAGTAGCAAGACCATGGCGAAGACAACTTTAGGTCAACTGGCTGAATCCTGACACGCCGCCGATTTCCGGGGAGCGCCTGCTAATAATGCATGAGAACGCTCCCGGGACGCTCACCAGTGAAGGCGTGCACCTTCCACGAGCCCCAGAGCACGCTGGGAAACATAGTTCCCAAAGACTAGGAAGAAACCTCACACACACACCCCCCGTGGGCGCATGCGCGCTAAGGATTCCTTAGCCGCTTCCCGGATAAGAAAGCGGCGGCGCTACCACGCATTCTGCGGTCCGCGGGCGGAGGCTTCTGGGAGTTGTAGTCGCTGGCGGTGGGCGCCGTCGGTAAGGAGACGTAGCTTTCGGCGTGGTCCACCCCAGCAGTTGGTTCGCGGCCGGGGCCGCAGGGTCAGTCCTCGCTTCTCTCCCCACCGCACTTCTCCTGAGGCTGAGGAGGATTTCCCGTGGGCTGGCGCGTCCCGTCCTGAGTGGGGGGGTCCTCGTGGCTGCGCGGTTAATTTCTGCTCCCAGCCCTCTTCCTCCTCGCCCGTCGCTCCAGCTCGGGTTCGGCAGGGACTCGCCCTCGGGAGACACCGGGCCGCGACCTCCTCAGACCGGGTCTCCTGGTGGCGGGGTCCGTCTGCACCCAGGCCCGACCTGGCGGGTTCCTCAGCAGCCGCCCGCTGCCTCGGACCCCCCTCTCACGCTCCTTCTCCTTTATCTCTCCTCTGCAGGGATGGACGCTTCTTGGCGCCAGGTGGCCTCTGGCCGAGGCCGAGCCCGAGGACGGGCCGCCCCAGTCCCCTCCTCAGGAAATGGAGTCCCTCTTGGCGGCGCAGGAGGAGGACCAGCCAAAGGGTCCCGGAGCGCGGTGCCCTCGGTCCCCCGCCCCGGCGGAGCAACGACCCTGGGCGCTGCAGGTCGCAGGCAGCCATCAGCGGGAGGCGAAGCCCCGCAGACTCCGGGGGCCAGCGGTGAGGATGGCTTGAGTCATTCCAAGCTCGCCAGGCTCTGATACCTCCTGTCGGTGTTTCCCAGTGCCCTCGTGGTCTCATTCACTTTTTAAAAAACTGTTCAGGGAGTTTAGTATGTGACCTTCTCAGACTCAGGCAGAGTTCCACATCATCTCTTTGATCTTCATTTTAAGTGGTGTTGCGGTTGTTCTCTGGCCATACTCTTCCGATCACTGATCACTACTTTTCGCCTACCTGGATCCCTAGACCTTACGTTTTAAATTGTGTTCAGGCGATCTGGTTTGTTTGGCAGACGCAGGGCTTGTTTACCAACCAGTAAATTGATCGCCAGTGTTTGTTTTCTTTTAAATTACAAAAAGGTTTAACTTTTGTTTTTGTAAAGTAAGATCTTGTGCCTACATATTTTTGTGTATGGTAGCAGCAAGCTAGGCTAAGGTCTCAGAATCCCATTTACGTATAGACTGGGAACTGCATCCTACATTAACTGGACTCTGAAGACTAGGCATTGATAACTATTTTAGCAGGCCACCTGGCATTTTTGACTGATTGTTTTAGGACCCCCCCCCAAGGGCTTTGGTTGTTGTTGGTGTTTTCGACTGATTCCTGTCTATAAATCTTATGTCTTTCCTTGGGTGAATCTAGGGCTGCCACCATGGATTTGTCAAGTGTTGAGAACACTTCCATGTAACTGTGCATGGAAAAGATAGAATGATCCCTGATATCATTGTGTGTTTGGGATGTATTTTCCGGAACACTTTACAGCTTTTTTATTTCTGAGATCATATTATAATTGCATCGTTTCTCCCTTCCCTTTAGGAGCAAAATCGAGCCCCTGAGTGGGGTTTCTCTTAGGGTAACTTGGAAGTTAGTGTTGGTTTTCCTTATAGTTAGCCAGTTTATCATGGAGGTGAAGAGGGCAGTTTGGAAATCCATGAGCAGATTGGTAAGCTTGTTTGAATTTTGTGGGTAGGAGGAAAGCAGGCATTTTCTAACTGAATAGCTGATGGAAGGAATAACTTGTGAGAAGACGTCTTGGTCACCTTGTCTGTGACTTCCCTCCAGATGTTGTTACCTCATTTAGGGTAGCATACGCTTATCAGAGTCTTAGTGTTTCTAGTATATCTTCCTGATTCTTTTATTTACCGCCCCCCCCCCAGATTAATGTCATCATTTTGCCACATATGTCTTAACAGCAGTTACTGAGATTCCTAAAGTAAACTTCGAGTACATTTTCTTCCGTTTTTACCTGAAAACGGTTTGGTTAATCACATTAGCTGCAATAACAAAAGGAACACATTTCCTGAGGGAAAGAAAAGGTAAAATAGCATTAGGTACAAATATATCACCTAAAGTGAGAAGATTTATTCTGATAGTGGCTCGTCAGCCTGATGTATGATGTATGTTTTGAGTTAGTGGTTTAGAATAGTAAATTTAAAATCCTTTTACTATGAGCACCCATTCAGCTCAAGAGTCTTTTCTTAAAGCACCATTGGTGACCATAGAAGATAGAACAGGTTTGCTCAACCTTCACTTTCAAGAAGTTGGGAGTCTCATTGGGAACAGGTGCTGGGAATTTAATGGTTCTGTTTTTTTTTTTATTATTGTGTAATTAAGTAACAATGGGGAGTACAGAGAGTGCTCTAAAAATGAGAAGATCTGGCTCAGACGTTTAACATCCTTTCCTGGACAGTAGTAAAAGAACCATTCAATCCTATTTAGCAGTTTTTGGAGTAAAATTGTTAGAAGTATGTTTCCATGTTAACGCTTTGTGTGATGACAACAATGTCAAGTTCACCTTGAAGGCTGGAAGATTGGGTGGGAGCTTTATAAGCAGCTAATAAATAGAGTAGATAAACCATGTATATTATCTGTGCAAAGGCATTGTGGGCTGTACTGGGTTCCTGAGACTGGTTGGAAGAAGCACCACCTCCTGTCCTGGTGTTGCCTCCACTGGGTTTGTTCCCCCATTTCTTAAAAATCAAGATGTATAATGTATTTTAGTGATTTTTATTATTTGCTTATTATTGAGACAGTAGCTTGCTATGTAGCTATCGGTGGCTGCCCTTGAACTCAGGGATCCACCTATTTTGGTCTGTCTGTTACTACACCTGACTTCTACATTTTCTTTTTCTTTTGAGACAAAGTCATCTATCTATCCTTGACTGTCCTGGTGTTCACTGTGTAGACCAGGCTGACCTTGAACTCACAGAGGTCCACCTAGATCTTCTCCCTCCCCACCAAGTGCTGGGATTAGAGGCATTTGCCACTACACCTGACTTGTATAGTGTATTTTAACATTTCATTTCCATTTAAATTTTTTGAGACTCCTCACGAGGTATTTGGCACAGTTACTATACTTTAGAATTTCTCATTAGTTTGTTAGTTTCTGTGTCTATGGCTCTTGATGACTTTGGTAGGCTTCTTCTAAAGTTAGTATTTGTCGTGTTGTTTTCTTTGGTTCTGTGGTAAGAAATTAGATCTTTTATTTCCTCACAGATGGTAAGAAGATAGGACATTCTAAAGGTGGCTTTCAAATGTGTGTGACCTGGAAAATAAAAGAGGTGTGATTCTACATCATGCCGTGCTTTGTGAAGACACTGATTTGCAGGAGTGAAATTTCTCTTTTTTTCTGCTTTGCAAGCAGAGCTAACATCTCAGAGGAAATTTGAGGAGATCAAGAAGGCCAACGAAGCTGCAGCCAGGAAATTTGTGGAGGAGAACTGCAGTTCCTCCTCTGAAGAAGAGGGGGATGAAGACTTGGAAGGGAAGCAGGGGAAAATCGTCGCTAACACCTTCATATCATACACTACCCACACAGGTATTAGCTTACCAACTTTGACCTCTTTGCTATAAGCAGAAGAATATTTCTGATATTGTTTAAAGTTTAAATTACTATCCAGAAGTTTTTCATTTTCAGCATGGACATCTTGTGAGTTTGAGTACATCTTGCTATTTAAATTATGTGCTGTTAATTGTAATCTTTGTATGAAGTAGATTGCATAGTAAGTGCTCTTTACAGCCCTAACTCCCAGAGAAACAGGTAGGGTAGGTGGTTACTGGTGATGATTCTCTTAGGTCACAGGGCTGTGGGGAAACCCCCTCCAGTGTAGTCTTCATTTTCTTCTCCTTTTTAATCACGGCAAAGTTGCTTTAAAGTCCATTTTGTATCTAGACTTTATTACTGGAGTTTTTATCTTACATTTGATTCTCATAACTGCTTTTAAAAATTAAATCCTTATAGGTCTGACATGCATATTCATTATCTGTTAATATATGTTTGGATTAAAACAAATCCTCCCTCCTTTATTTAATGTGAGACAGAACAAGTCATTAAAGTAGATTATTTCAAAGATCAGATTTATACTCTTAAACTTTCCAAATTTTATACTCAGGTCATTAGAAACATTAACACTTCTCAGTATTTTTATAGATGTATTTCATGCTATTTATATAGTCTTATGTTATACTTGCTTATACTCTCATTTTAGCTTTTGTGTTTTGTATTTCTTACTTTAAAATCTTGTTAGAACTAGAAAAACGTTTTCCTGGGAAATGGCTCTTCATAGGAGAGAAGATCCTCCCAAAATGACACAATTAATAGATGGCAGAGTTGGCCTCTGCCTGATTTGCTCAGCTTTTGAGCTTTTTGGTTTTACGAGACAGGGTTTCTCTGTCGGTTGGTCCAGCCCGGCCTCGAACTCATAGAGATCCGCCTGCCTCTGCCTCCCGAGTGCTGGGATTAAAGGCGTGTGCCACCACCGACCGGCAGCTTTTGAGCTTTTATCAGGCTCATGGTATTCTGTGTGTAAGAGCAGCATGAGTCTCAAGTAGACGAGACTGCTGCTCTCGAACCCGTCCACTGGGGGGAACATCAGTAGACTGGTCAAAAGGACGACTCACAAGCTTTCTGCTAAGGTTTAGAATTGGGCATGTTCACGTTGGCTCAGAGTCTCTGTTATGTGAAATGAGTCCGGCGATCGTAATATCGTGGAGTGGCTGGAGTGAAGTAACACTGCTTGTCAGATGTCTACGGAAGTGTCTGACACATTTTGTATGCTTGAGTATTAGAGGCTTTCTGCCACAGCTGATCTTCTTTCTGTCCTTGTCTTTTTAAAAGATTTCTTCCATGTCTTCCTTTAGGGATAGGTCTTCTGTCATAATTACACATCAGCTCTCTTCTATTTGTTACTGATTTGTTCCTTAGTTATTATACAGTGCTTTACTGAGATCAGGATTGTTAGTACAACAGGGTCAAGCAGAGTGGAGTTTGTATGTTAACTAGAATAAAGAATAAAGATACTAACACGAGAGTTAGTAAAGTCTTCTGGCTGACTCGTGTAGAGTGTGTGTGTGTGTGTGAGAAAGTGTGAGTGTGTGTGTGTGTGTGTGTGTGTGTGTGTGTGTCTGTGTTGCAGTCCGTCATCCTTTTGGTGCTTTGTGGGTTACCTGCATGTACTGATGAAACTGCAGAGGTTGGTATGCATTCTCCTAAATTTATGACCCATTTCCTGAGGAATGAAGGAAGTTCAGCTGAAATGTCAAGCCTAGCAAAATAAAAGCTGATGAAAGCAACTTTAAGACTTGAGAAGTTCTTGCTTCTGGATAACTTCCTAAATAGAAATCTTAAGTTTATCTTAAGTTTTATGGTAAAGAGGACCTCACTTCAACCATTCTAGGTAGTTAGATTTTACTTTTTCTTTTTCTTTCTTTCTTTTTTTTTTTCCCGAGATAGGGTTTCTCTGTAGCTTTGGAGCCTGTCCTGGAACTTAACTCTGTAGACCAGGCTGGCCTCTGCCCCCTGAGTGCTGGGACTAAAGGCATGCGCCACCACTGCCTGTTGTGGAGTATTATTTTAAGGTATGCTAGTTTTGTTTATGCTCTGTAACATTTGTTTAATGATGCAAAGGTGTGTTTGATTAAATAAAATTCACCTGCAGTCAGGAGGCTGGGTCAGCAACTAGCTGACGGGAAGTTGTAGGGAAGAGGCAAGTGGAGAAGGGTTTATAAGGAGGGGTGAGAAGAAACACCTGGGAGACTGGAGGGTGGGCTAGGTGAGCTGCTTGCTATTCAGCCTCTCCGGGAAGCAGGGTTCTACCTTAGCCTTTGAATCCTGAGTTCCTTAGCAGAACAGATTTAAATACGTTTCCTTAGTAGCTTTGAAAGAGTTGATGCCTGAGGGAACAGAATTTCTCTAGGCTTCAGCTCTTGCGGTCTAGCCACTACTGGTAGTGGCAGAGTTGCAGTTACTGACTAGGATAGCTGTAGCTTAAAAGGCAGAACAACTAAAACAGAAAAATAACAACTGTCCGGCTGGCAGGTTTTACCTTTAAATATGGCACATAGTAATATAACACAGCTGTTTCTTAGTGTAGATAGTAAGAAGTAACTATTATTTGCATGCTTTATGAGTTTTTAGCTTATTTTTATCTTCAGTAATTTTTGTTTCAAATATATTAGTGCTTTGATTCTCATTCCTGGATGTTCTACACTATGGGTGTAATACATTAAGGAAACTGGACCGGTTGGTTAAGTGTTTTAATTTAGTAAATGCCAGAGTAATGAGATGGTCTTCCCCCACACTGGTGAGTTGAGCACTAGTACATTACCAAGAACCCCTCCAATTTTTGTGGTCTTAGCCTTTGCATTTTTGTGATTCTCTTCTCTGGACTTAAATTTGCGTGGCTTTATTCTAAAGAGTATGTCATCTTCACCTGTGGATATCTCACGCTAGAAAAGATGACTTCTTGTTTTCTTACCTACTTAGTAGCTCTCCAGTCTTCTAACTCAGAAATGCACAAGCAGAGGTTTTATATACATGGCACAAGTTAAACCACAGTGTGGTTGTCACCAAAGCCTCCTAGATTTCACTTGGTAACTTTTAAGCATACTTGTTTATTTTTGAAACAGGGTCTTATTCTGCAGCTCTGTCTGTCTGGTCTAGAACTGCTGTCTGCCCCATGTTTACCTCCTCCTTACTCAGCCTCCACGCGGCCTGACTTCTTAATTATCTCCTAGTGTCCCTGTACACTGGCTGTACACACTATTGCTGGCCTTTATGGCTGCTATTAGCATTTGACAGAAGAGAAAACTGAGAAGCATTAGGTAACTTTCCACAGTTCTAACTGCCTTTAACTGCTACTTTCTGCTCATTCCAGTCTTGACCTCCTCAAACTCAGGTTTCCTTATTTGCCACTGTGGTTGTTTTAGAGTATGTGACATCCGGTGACATGCTGTGTCCAGTAGGACATGCCAGGCAATGCACTTTATTGCTTTAACTAAATTAAAATCCAACTTTCAAAGAAATATTACTTGAATTTCATATAGATAAACTTAGACTTTAATATGTAAGCCTATACCATCATATTCTTATATTTAAATTGTATGAATTAGTTGTTAAATTGTATGTATAAGCTGATAAGATTTTAGATGTTACTTTTTTTAAACAAAATTTTATGTGAGCAAAATAAGCATACTGAATACAATTACTCTGTTTGAGGCTATTTTAGAAAGTAAAACATTTGTCGTTAGTAGTTTTGTAGTTTAAGAGTGCTTTACATTTGTCCTTTAACACCGTAAATGGCATTTATGTTTATGTCCTGGTAGAGCACACTTTTCTTAAGTTCTGTGTTTAGTTAGATGATTTTAGAAAATGAAGAACTAAGATTCTTATTTATTTAGTTCTTTTCTGGCAGCAAGTTTTGGTTTGAACTAGGTATCATGGTGAATTCTGTCCTACTTTATAAGCATATGTTATTGACCTACTTTTTTTGGAAATTCAGTCTGTGTCGAATCATTTGGTTATGTTAAAGGCATGTCAGTTCATTTTTCTTACACCATGACTTGAGTTACCTCCAGTTTGGTGTCATTTGTATTTTAGAGTACTCTTTGTAAACTCCTTTTTTTTTTTTTTCTTGGACCTTTTTTTCCACTAAAGCACAGGATAGGAATTGAGGACTCACTTAGTCAAACTGAGATCACTGTGTCTCAGGTTTCTCATGTATAACTCTGCAATAATAATAGTTTATCCTATGACAATATTCTTAGTGCTTGGAAAGAATTAGTACTTGCTTAAAGGAAATACCGTCTGGTAAATTTCTTCTCCTACAATGCTTATACTGCTGTTTAAAGCAGAAGTGAGCATATAATGAAATGTGGTTGTTGTGCTATAGGAACCTCAGCATCTTCTCATTCACAAGATTTTATTATGAGTATGTTTGTTATGTGCTAGCCCCTCCCTTCAGGGGTGAACTTTTCCTTCATACTTCAGTTTTTTGATACTTCAGCTTTTTGCCATAATAGGTGGTCTTGCCAGTGGTTCTGCCTTCATCAAAATTGTTACCGATTTTAAGCAGAAAGCAAGCATGTGTGTGAGCGCTGAAGTGCTATTAATTCATGGACTTGGTAAACCCTTGCCAGTTTATTGGATATTTTCCGTTGTTAAGCTTTGAGGTTTTGTTATATTTTCTGCAGTTAAAATTGCTTGTCATTTGTCACATAACCTGATTGTTAGTGAAGATATGTTGTTTACTGTGATGTTTTCAATTTTTACATTTTAGATGGTGATATACATGAATTAGAGCGAACAAAACAGTATTTGAATGAAGCTTTTCAGGCAGGGGCTATGACGTGCCTTATTTGTATCGCTTCAGTGAAGAGAAACCAAGCAGTAAGTTCTTCTCCTTTATGATACGTCTCTCCACAAGTATCATAGCTCACATTTATATACTTGGCCATTTATTGTATTTTCACTATGTTTGCTTAAAAATTCATTTGACAATTTTATATGTGAACTCATCTCTGTTTTGTAAATCTAAAAAATTAAGTAATTTTAGCACTGTTGATATCTGAAACAAGTATTTTAATTCTAATGCATGTGTTGCTTTACTAAAATATTTTTAGCATCTGTTGAGAGATTCCTACAAATACAAAATGTTACTATGTGGTACTATGATCTAACCAGAGCCTACCACATGCTAGGCAAATGATATACCGCTGAGCTACATATTTTCAGTGCGTTCAGTAGGACAGTGCAGTAGAGGCAGGTGTCTTCAGACTCAGAGTCACATCTCCTTAGCTTTCTGTGATTTCAGCCCCTGAGTAGTGTATCTACACCAATGCTTGATCTCTGTGTAGACTACTCCTTCTGTCTTTTCAAGGTTGTTTGTTCACCTTGGGAACTGACTCAGCCAATAAAGAGGTTAAATGCAACACTAGGAGTTCATGTCTCCTGGAACAACATTCTTCCAGAGAATTGGTGAATGTCCCAATCTTGTTAGGGTGCTACTTGGAGTTAGAACAGCATGCTTTATAGTTTTTTTTTTTAAGGGCTTACTGCAGTGTCGAATTGTTGTGACCTTAGTAGTAATGACTTCTACAAAATACCATTACTTGGTATTTCTTCCTCCTCATCTTGTCCAGTCACTCTTCTAGGTTCCCATTTTAGGTAGGTTTTTGGGGAACCAAAGCTAAGGAATTAGCTGTTTCTTTTTATGTAATGCTGCTGTCTACTTTATGTTACATCTGATTTTTCCCCCCAAATTGTTGTAGTAAGGAAACCAAAACCAAGTTTTCTACTATGTTAAAGTATTAGTAGACTTAAAGATTAATTTATTAATTTAGTATTACTTCTTAAGCCTTAAGAATTTGTTACATGGATTTGGAAGTCAGAGGGCCACTTCGTGGGCTTTTTTCCCTTTTTCTCTATGTGGGTTCTGGAGATGGAACTCAGGACTCCACATGTTGCACAGTAAGTGCCTTTAACTGCTGAACCATCTCACTGGCTCTTTCTTAAGGTTTTATGCTGTATATATATATATTTTCACTTTTTGCTCAGTTTTTGAATTTTGCATAAGTGCTAGACTTACTGAATTTATGTAACAAAATAGGTTATTTATACACACATTTTATGACTAGGATTCTTTTGTCATATTGTTTATAATTGGGAGTAACAGATGTCTAGCAATAAGAAATTGATGAAATTATGGCACACAAATTTATATAACATGTATAGCTATATTTGACAAGGATAAATGTTTATATCATGTTTTAAAAAGATGTTATTATCAGTCAGTACCAGTATATATATGTGAATATATATATATATATACATACATACATATGCACATTTATAAAATTAGACATCATTCAGATTGTTAGCCGTGGTTTTTTCTTGCTAATTGAATCTGGTTGATGAATATTTTTCTTTTGAATGGTATACCCCTAAATACAATTTTCTAAAGATCTTGTCTTCTATATCAGGAGTTTGTTTTGTTTTTAATCTTTAGGTAAGTTTTTAAAATAATTCAATGTGTGACAATCATCTTAAAGTATTGTATAATTAACAAAGAAAAATCATATATAATGCATTTTGACACCTTTGTCTTAGGTTTGGAGCTGCTCAGGATGTTTCTGCATATTCCACATGCCCTGTATTCAGAAGTGGGCTAAAGACAGCCAGTTTCTTGTATCTTCTGTGACAGATGAGGATTTTGGAAAGAAAGATTATCCTTGGCCATGGTAATTGTTTTCTTGTTCATTGGATTCAAGTTGTGAAATAAATGAACATTATGGATCTGAAATTGTGTTGCTAGAAGTTTCAGTCCATTTTGCTTTCTATTACCTGTCTGATTTGTGAAGACAGGAGACCTTGGTAATGTTCTCCCTGCAGTTTTTATGTAAACACATGTGTCTCTCAATAACTCTCTCAATAACTAACAAATCATCAGTCTGCTTTTCCTGTGTGTTGTAGAATGAGTGTGGGTTCACACGGATCATCGGTGGAAGAAGACACAGGGCACTTTAAGGCTGATTTTAGCCTTTGCAGCTAGCTATAGGGGGACTCGGCCCAGGGCTTTTTTACTTTCTCCAATTTACACCTTTAGCAAGTTGATTTCCATATCCCCAAAACATTCTAACTAAGCTTTCAAAGGGCAGATGCCGTATGCAAATTCTCTATTAAGGAATAGCACAGTACTTTTCCCAACCAAGTTTTGCATGGACTTTGTACACTTGGGAAACACTCAGGCACTATTCTTGTGTATTACGCAGAAGGTGCTGAAGACAAAGGGCAGATTGAGGTTGCTTGCTGACATGTTGAAGCCAGCCAGCTCAGCCATGTAGGAGTTGTCCTTACACCTGGGAAACAATGCCTCAGATGTGCTTTCAAGAACTTGTCTATGAGGCTGAATGAGAATCATTCAAAATTGTACCTCTCTTTCCTTAAATTCCTGTTAGTATACATTAGTGTCATACTGTATATGCTCATCATCTAATGTATTTTGATTATATGATTTCCAGTTATGTCTTCAATCTCAACATTACATTTGTATATTATGACATTTATTTATCCACATTTATTTTACCAGCTTTGTTTATTATTGATTATTGGACCTTGGCTTCTGTTATTTTTTGAGGAAAAGTGGAGAAGTAAAATAATTTGTTCTGCTAGTCTACAATGGTACATTCATTGTTAAGGCTAATTAAATGTCAGCTCGGCATTGTATGTTTATATTACAATTTTTGTAACTGATTTTTTATAAATTATAAGGTAGTGTTCTTTTTTTGTAATACCTCCCAAGTTGTATAGCTTCAGGCCTAATAAAATCTGGTTATGAGTCTTATCTTCCTTAATTTTCATGAAAACCGAGGTATTTGTAAAGTTATGGCATAATTTTTAAAAAACATTTTAGACATGGGCATTTCTTTGTAAATAATTCCAGCAGTCCTGAGAGATTTTGCCTGTTACCCCTGAGGATGTGGAAGTTAGCTGACAGCTGCATTGAGCTCACACTCCTCTCACTTCTGAGAGGCAGAGCAGGAGTCGGAAACCTGGGATTTACTTTAACTATTGACCTTTTTGTATTCACCAAGTCCAGCGTGGTGAACGCTTTCTCTTCGAGCTGCTTTAAAAGAATTTATAAATTTGGAGTCTATGCTCGGTTGTTCTCACAGCGGAGGGATTTTAGTGTTGGGTACAGCAGGGGCCAGGTGTCCAGAGTCACTGGTTGTTACTCACAGCAGAGGGATTTTAGTGTTGGGTACAGCAGGGGCCAGGTGTCCAGAGTCACTGGTTTAAGAGATTTGAGCTTCACTCTCTCCTTTTGCTCTGTTCACTGCTGCTGTAAGTAGTGATTTTTCCATAGAGGAGTGAAATGCCAGATACCAGAATAATGAATTGCTACTTTTCTCCTAGGCCTGAAAGGATGAAAGTGTAACGTTCTGTGTAGTATTGCTTACAACTCTTCTGAATAAAAATAACTGACTATTTAAGTTAAGAACCTACTTTGTTTACTTCTTGTCAAGATGTAACCAGAACCTGGTAAAAAATATAATAAAGTAGTTACTTGATTGAAATGAGCTTTTACGTTTTGTGCTTCTAAGATAAGCACATTTTGAGTAACCGGATAAGGCCTTTGATTGTTGATATTCTATCATTTTAAAGTGGAACTCATGCATTTGTACACATCACCCCTCCCAAAGTAGTTCTCTGTCAGTCAGTGCAGGCTGGCAGTGTAGCACATAGTGCCTGTTAACCGTCCAAACACATCCCTTTTTATAACAGCTATAAGAAAGTCATTTTCTTTTAATAAAGGGAAATTAGCTCTTTCAACAAAATGTTGGTGATTTATAAACATGAGGTGTGACATTAGTTTTCAGTTTTTACTTCAAAAATCATTCTGTTTAAGAGTGCGTTTGTGCATGTGTGCATAGTGTTTGGGTTTAAGTGCTGGTGCCTCTGCAGAGGTCAGCGGCATTGGCATTCCCCTGCAGCTGGAGTTACAGGCTATGGTGAGCCACATGATACTGATCTGGGAGCTGAACTCAGGTTCTATTTAAGAGCGGTCAAGCCATCTCTCCATAACTTGTTTTTGAAATTTAATTATGAGAACAAATGTGTTTTTATTATTCTGAACATTTGTATAGTGTTTAGTTGGATGTACAGCATGTTCTCATGACAATTAAAATACATCATCTTTTATACAGAACAAATTTAAATGGTGCTGTGCCAATAGCCTGGTGCAGCACACTGACTGTACTCAGTTGTTTGGGAAGGAACAAGGTTTAGAGCATCTTTTAGGAATGATCTGTGATGATCTCCAAGTGATTTTTTGTTAGAGTTGAAGGTTGTTATTCCTATTACCCAAATTTGCTTTGACGTTGTAATGTATAACTTACTCTGTTAGCAGAGAATTTAAAATTATATTTAAACTTTTCCTTGACTTACGTGAACTTGAAATATGTGTATTTTGTCTTAGAGATGGAACATTAGGAAGTTCTCAGAGCTGGAGGAACAGCTAGTGGTTAAGAGTACTTACTGCTCTTGCAGAGGACTCAAATTCAGTTTCCAGCACACATAGGGTGGTTCACAACTGTCTGCAACTCCAGGCATGTATGTGGTCCATATGTACACGCAGGCAAAATATTCATAAAATAAAAAATAGATACACTTTAAGAAAGGAAAATTAGGAAATTTATTTGTTTACATTCAAGTGTTCCCCCCCCCCCCCAGGGTTTCTCTGTGTAACTTTGGCTGTCCTGGAACTTGATCTTTAGACCACACTGGCTTTTACCTGGTGCTTTTTCCTTCTTAATTATAGGACTTGGTTATGTTTCTTCTTGCTATATTTAGCCTATGTATAACATGGTTTTTAAAATGTTTTCTTTTGGTGCTATATTTTGTTCATTTATAGGTTATATAACCATACTTTAAGAAAGCTGAGTCTTGTATAAATCTGGATGAAAATTGCAAAAATGTAGTTTGTAGAAATTTTGGTTAAAAATCTTGGCTAGTAGAAAGCTGATGTTTCTTTTTGTTTGTAGTTGTACTTTGGATATCTGTGTTTAATGCATGACAACTAATTACATGTGGCTAAGTCAGGTTCTAGAAGTATAAATATGAATAAAAAGTGATTGCCAAGTTTTATGTGTAGTCTCATCTCATGTGCCATGTTTGGCTATTGGCTCTTGTATTTGCGAGTGAATTCTTACTACAATCTCTGTATAACTTCGTGAATTTACTTTTTTACCTAACAAAGAATTAAAGTATAGTCCTGTTACTGTTGCCTCTTATGTTACTTTTAGTGATGGGCTTAATATTTCATTTCTTTTGTAGTCCAAAATGTAGATTTGAATACAAAAGATCAGAAACACCTACTAGATATTATTGTTACTGTGGGAAAGTAGAAGATCCACCTTTAGATCCATGGCTTGTACCTCATTCCTGTGGCCAAGTTTGTGAGAGGGAATTTAAGCCACCTTGTGGCCATAAATGTCTACTACTCTGCCATCCAGGTGAGTTTCATATTGTATGTGTAGTTGTTTTTGACTGTTGTTTCTTCTCAATGTTCAACCAAACAGAATTATTCAAGTTGAATTGAAGTTTGTTGTGAGAAAGGATTACCCTTTAAGTAGCAATGAAGAAAATGATGAAAATTTCTGAAAAATGTAAATCTAAGAAGTTTCAGTTACCAATGTTTTAATTACTCTACCCCTCCCCTTTGTTGCATTCCAGGTCCCTGCCCTCCTTGTCCAAAGATGGTGACAACTACTTGTTACTGTAAGAAAGCAAAACCTATCCCTCGCAGGTGCAGTGCCAAGCAGTGGTCTTGTCAGCTGCCGTGTGGACGCAAGCTGCTTTGCGGGCAACATAGGTGTGAAAATCCTTGTCACGCAGGTAAAAGACCATATGTGGGAAACCGTGACTTTAAACAGACTCAAGGCTGTCTTGGTTGCTTTTAGTATTTGTGTACTAATTTATGATTGTACTTTTAGGAAACTGTCAGCCTTGTCCAAGAGTTAGTAGACAAAAATGTGTGTGTGGTAAAAAAGAAGCGGAAAGAAGTTGTGCGAGCCCAGTGTGGCACTGTGACCGAGTAAGTGTGGGTGCCTCTGAGGGTGAGGGTGGGTGTTAAAGAGCACACACAGCGACTGGGAGCGCAAGTGTGTCCTGGGTTAGTTGAATAAAAGGTACAACACATACAGCTCCTTTTCAGTTTATTATCTTAACTACTGGAGAAAAAGGCTTTTTTTTCCTCTCAAATAATTGCAGAATTCTTAGTTCAATGTGTTGTTTTACCCCCACACTTTTCTCCATTGTTTAAGCTTCTGCCGTTCTCTACTTGAGATAATGCCATTGAGAAAGTGGAATTGTTTTTGTGGGTTGCTTTTCCTAAGATTGGAACTGGTGTAGTACTGGCTAGAAGTTTAGTGGACGGTCACACACATCTGTCCTTTCTTCCATTTTTATGATACACTCTTTGCTGTACAGGAAATAGGTATTCATATGTAAATGTGTTCACATACATGTATGACACCTGTGTTAGACATAAAGGACAGTAATATGAAGAGCATAATGAAGTTGTGAGTGCAAATGGGTTGTGTTTTATCCTACCTTTTTTTATAGTTGTAATCTCTTGATGAGTGCTTTTATTTTAGGTATGTGGAAAGACACTGCCATGTGGTTACCATACATGTGAGCAAATTTGTCATGTTGGTGCTTGTGGAGAGTGTCCTCGCTCCGGGAAGAGGTCATGTCCATGTCAGAAATCAAGTAAGACTTGTTTAGAAGGAAATGAGCTATTGAGCTATGAGAAGATGTAGAATAAATGGTCATTTATATTACTAAACAAAACAATCTAATTTGAAAAATATGTGTACTATAGGAATTAAGCTACGTGATTTTCTAGAAAAAGGAAACTTGACAGGCTAGGGAGAAGGAGGACCGAGAGCTGGGGCATAGAGGGTTTACGGTGCTGAAACTGCTCTGAGATGTTATGTACCAGTCACTGAACTTCTGTCCATAGCCATAAAGTAAGCACACATGGAGTGAGCCTTCACATCAACTGGGAGTTTTGAGTGATTGTCGTGGAAGGCCGTTAGGTGTAACATTCTGACTTTTGGTATACATTGGTACTGAAGGAGGCTGTGCTGCTGTTGCTGTAGGTATGAAATTCTGTGAACTTAGTTTTGGTTGTTAAGGAGCAGTATAGCAGTTTGAGTGTGCTTTCCTGACTCCTGCAGTAGGAGCCATTTGTAAGATTTTTTCTACTATTTGTCATAATGTGATTGTTAAGGTAAGTTTTATAGTGTATTTTAAGGCTTGTATTTTTTTCCATCCTATGAGATTGAACAAATTTCAAAAGAAAATTCTGCATATGTGGAAATCCCTCAGAGTTTTATGTTCTCATACTAATTTTTCTGACAATTTCTGAAGCAGTTTGCTCATAAAAATGCTTGTTGATAATAACGTGTGTCCAATTTCTTTTTAAGAAATGTAAGCTTGCTGGGTGTTGGCGTACGCCTTTGATACCAGCAAGTGGGAGGCAGAGGCAAATGGACTCTTTGAGTTCAAGGCCAGCATGTAATGAGTTCTAGGACAGTCAGGGCTACATAATAGAGAAGCTCTATTTCAAAAAAAAAAAAAGATAAATTTGTCTATGTTGGCAATGGTTGGGATGTATAGGGCAGGAGAATTGTGAATTTAGGGTTAGTCTTGCAAAAATATTAGGAATTATTTTTATTGAAGTTAATTTTTCTAATATGTGGTTATAAAATTTTTGTGGTTCAAAAGCTGTCATTCTTCAAGAACTGAAGAACAGGGATCTTTGTTAATGATTTCACTATCTTATTTAATGTTGATATTTTGTTTGTTTTCAGAGTTTTCTTTGCCTTGTACAGAAGATGTACCAACCTGTGGAGACAGCTGTGACAAAGTGCTTGAGTGTGGAATCCATAGGTGCTCACAGCGCTGCCACCGAGGACCTTGTGAAACATGCAGACAAGTTAGTTATGTTTCAGACACTTCCTTTCCAGAACTATGTATCAAAATATGTCAGAAGAAAGTGGTGTTGTGTATGTTCTTATTAGTTTCATACACACCTGTGTCATTGTCTGTGCTATCTAATATTTATAGTATTGATCAGGAAATCAAATCCAAACATGACCCTTTATCATTTTCCTTGGTACAAGTTACAATGTTGTCATTTGCATAGTTCAATGGTGGGACTGTTTGCTACCAAAAGTTATTTAGAGCTCTGTTGAATTCAGCCTACTTGCAATGGAAACAGACATGTCTAGATTTGAGACGTTAAACTTAAATACATACATTATTTGATTTCAGCCATACTACTCCGTTAATCAGGTAGGTTCCTAAACACTCCACTTGTCTTTTACTGAGATGAGATGGAGATGTTAAGTTTGGAACCACCTATTTGTGTGTTTTACTGTTTGATACCAGATTTCTACTAGATTTCATGATTAATTCATATGAGGTGCTATTTGGAATGAAGTAAAACAAGTATTTTATGAGACTGTTGTCTGAGCCTGCTCCAACGAGCCTACTAGGACACATTGTGAGGACCCACAGGCTGTTTTGGATTAGTTTTTAATACAAATTTGTTACTAAGGTTTTTGTCCTCTTAGTCACAAAAATTGCCGCATGGAGAAAAACATTAGCATTAGTCAATTTAATGATGCTTGTTGATGGTTGGCCTAGGAAGTGGAAAAGCAGTGTCGCTGTGGAAAGCATACAAAGCGAATGCCATGTCACAAGCCTTATCTTTGTGAAACCAAGTGTGTTAAAATGCGGGACTGTCAGAAGCATCAATGTAGGCGAAAGGTATGTGCGATAAACTTGCAAAACTGATTTAAAAGTTTTTGAAGTTTTCCTTTTTGGCATCTGATAAACACTTATAATTTGTTTCTCAAGTATTCAGGCATATTCTTTGTTTTCTATATAAAATAATAGTAAATATTCTAGGTTAACAGTTTTTATTAGTGGGAAATCATGCCAGATTTTGGATTTGGTGGTACATATAGGTCCATCACTCAGGAGTCCGAGGCAGAAGGGTCTTTAGTTTGAGGACAGCCTAATCTAATATAGCACGACCTTGTCACAAAACTAAAAACAAAACAAAACGCCAAAGACTGTATGTAGTCTTCTTTTCTCACACTGATTCTCAGCTTGGCTTTGGGACTGTTTCGTTTTCTGACTGAAGAGGAGTATTTTGATGTCAATGCCTAACAAAGATTAGGTGGTGTCTTAGGACTTCTGTTGTTGTGAAGAGACTCCGTGACCATGGTAACTCTTTTAGAGAACACTAAACTGAGGTGGCAGCTTACAGTTTCAGAGACTCAGTCCATTATTATTATGGTGGGGAGCATGGCAGTGTGCAGGCAGACATGGTGCTGGAGTGGTAGCTGAGAGACCTACATCTTGCAGGCAACAAGAAGTCTACTGTGACACTGGGTAATAAGAAACCTCTTCTTCCTTCAACAAGGCCATAACCACTCCAATAAAGCCACACCTGCTATTAGTGTCCCTCTCTATGAGATTATGGGGAGCTGTTACATTTAAACTGTCACAGAAGGTAATAGAAAGTAGATAGATTCTTGGCTTGGAGTGAATCCAATTGTTATTTTGTTGGGTCTGTAGAGTTGTAGCTCTTATATATATTTTTCTTTTTTTATAAAATATACTTTGTTCCTTGGCAAGAGCCCTGGTTCTTAAATTCATCAAAATGTGAATAATTTCAGCTTTTTTCATTTACTGTTAATGTATATCATTTTTCATTCCTTTAGACTTTAAACCTACTCATGTCTTTAGATTTAAACTGCATTCCTTGCAGAGAGCATTTAGATTTCATTTAATCCGTGGTGGCAGTATTTGTCATTTAATTTGGCTACACATCACCTACATTTAGTGTGACTGTTAAGTCTGTTAACCATCTTTGTTTTGAGACAGGGTCTCACTATTTAGCTCTGGCTGTCCTGGAACTTGCTCTATAGACCAGGCTGGCCTCTTCGTCCTGAGTGCTGGGATTAAAGACATGTGCCACCACTGCCTTGCTTCTTTTGCCTTTTTGAAAAATTTTACCATGGAACTTCTCTTCCTTTTTTCATTCTCCTTTCCTTCCTCCTCATCCTCCTGCTGGAATGGCTAGCCTCAATAAAGGCTGATTAACTGATTTTTCATCTAAATGGTGACCTTAGAATGGTACCAGTTGCCGGGGGTGGCGCATTTACAGTTTTGTACTGCCTCTTAGCTTGCCTTGTCCTAACAAGAGCATGTGACTGACGCTCTCTTAGGTATTGAATCTCTCTTGCATTCTCATGTTCACTCTCTTGCTTGCTATTGCTAGTTGGTTTTCAGGATTTTTCTTTATATTATCAGTTTTTAGTAATTGCTTTCTGATGTTCTGTTTTCCTTCTGTAGTGCTTCTTCAGGGTTTGAAGTTACTTTTTACATGTTCAAGCAAAGACTTGAAGGGATCTGTTCTGGAGTTTTTCAGAGATTTCTCTAAGTTGTATCATACTAGCCTGCATAAACTGTGAACCCCAGATTCTGCTTCTGATTGATCTTGGCATACAGCCTGGAAGCTAATGTCATCGTGGGGCTCGCCTTTTGTGCTTTTCTTCTCAGCAACTCTTGTCTTGGACTGTCTGACTAACCTCTAAAATCTGTAACTTCCAATCTATTGCCAGGCTTTCTAGATGTTTGGACAGGGGTAATTCTGATCGTTACTACCTTTTCCTGCATAGAAATGCCAGTTAGCTTTTTCACGTCATGGACCATGTAATCTATTCACTACTGCTACTGAGTGATAGACATTTTGTTACTCAGCAAATATCTATCTAATTGAGAAGTTTTGGCTAATTGATTAATTGATTTTCAGTGATAATATATTTTTGAGTACTGAAACTTGTTCTTAAGTTTACAGCTCTAAGTTTCTTTAAGACAGTCATAGCCTGTGTTTCTTTTTACAAACCTGAGTTTGAGAAAAGTTATGGAAAGAGTTAAAGTGACAGTATAGATCCTAAATAGTTGCCTGAAATTATGAATGAAAAGTTCACATAGGTAATATTTGTATTTTTCAGAGATTAGAAATGAAAGAAGTGACAGGTTAAGGAGTGTACCTTCATTTCTTTATTAGTTCTCTCATTCTATGTTTTGAAAATAACTAACAGCCTACACATTCACACAATTTAAAGTTAAATTAGTCAGATTCATTGTTTGAAAATGGAACTGGATTTGATCAAATCTTGGGTTTGGGTAATTTTCTGCATAAGGGAAATTTTGTGATGGAAATTGTCATAGAATAATTAAGAGGCAAGGAAGTTTAGTGTGGTTTCAAGTTCTTAAAATAGTGTTACTATTAGAATAATATTGATACTCTTGAATAATTTTATCCTTAGAGTGAAAATAAGCTTTCTGCTTTCTAAAAATTCTGTAAATGACTAGGACTTACATGCTATGTGTAGGGTTTCAGATTACTCTTTATGTATTATGTATTTTCTCTTTAGTGTTGCCCTGGAAACTGTCTACCTTGTGATCAAAATTGTGGACGGACTTTAGGATGTAGGAACCACAAGTGTCCATCTGTCTGCCACAGAGGTAAAATTTCACCGTACATGTTATTATGTATGTCCTTGGATAGATAGATATGTTTGCTTGTTGTAGTTTTGAATGAGTAGCATTTTAAATTTGTTATTAGGACAGAACTTTTAGAAACAAGAACATTCTAAAAGTTTACTGAGATACTGATACACATAAGGAAAGGTATAAAAATCTTAAGTGTGTAGTGTTATGAAGTGTGTGAGTGTGATCATATACTGAATCCAGCTTGTTAAACTGAACTCTGAGTGTTTCTCAAAGCTTGTGTCCTCCTGAATCACTCGCCTGATTGTGAACAGTAAAATCAGTTTTTCTTACTTCCTCTGTGTATGTGGAACCAAACCCTGAAGCATGTAGCCTTTGTGTGCACCTTTTTGTTTAATTTGCTGGGCATCATTGGTACTTCTGCTGCTCTCTGATGGCAGGCTGTCCCATTATACGCTGAACAAATACCCTTAGTATATCAGTTAACTGCTGAAGGGTATTTTGGCAAGTCGGTCAGTGTCTTAAAAAAAGCATTGAATTTTTCCCTCAGGCAGTTGCTACCCATGCCCAGAAACTGTAGAAGTGAAGTGCAGCTGTGGCAATGCAAAGGTGACAGTACCCTGTGGGCGAGAGCGGACCACAAGGCCACCCAAGTGCAAAGAGCTGTGCAGGTTGGTGTGAAGTTTTCCACAGTCTGACATCTGATGTTTTAACATTAAAAATTCATGCTGATTTCTGATAGTATTCTTTTTTTGTTTTTTTGAGACAGGGTCTCTCTGTGTAACTCTGGCTGTCCTAAAACTCTATAGTCCAAGGCTGGCCTTAAGCCTCTGCCTCCCAAGTGCTGGGACTAAAAGTGTGCACCACCACTGCCTGGTTTTTGACAGTATTCTAATTTTATTATATGTTAGTGTATTCCAGCAATTCTCATAGTATAATCATTTCTTATGATTTTGGAAAGTATATAAATAATTGCACTTTACATGTATTGTTGAGTTGTCAAAAGTAACTTAAAAACTTTCTGGTTTAGTCGACCATCGACGTGTCATCATACAAGTCAAGAAAAACACCGCTGTCACTTTGGCTCATGCCCACCGTGTCATCAACCTTGCCAAAAAGTTTTGGAGAAATGTGGGCACACGTGTCCAGCTTCGTGTCATGATCAAGCATTAGTGAGGCAGACTGGCAGGGTAAGAACAGTGTTAAAGAAGTATGCTTGGTTGTGGTTGTGTTTTCTTCAGTGATTATTCAACAAGCAGTGACAAAAATGTCTTTAGAGCACTCTGCTTGGACGTGGAAGATGAAGCAAACAATACTTGATCTTAAGAAACTAACAAAGACTGGTGTATTGCCCAGTGGTGACTTCCCCAGTATCTCCATGGGCCTGGGTTCATTCTTTAGTACTGGGGGGGAATATAGGGGGGGGTGACTAATAAATATGTGTAAATACAGTATGACAATCATGGTATTTAAATTAACTTGCTATTTTCCCTTCGAATATAGCTAGGGATATAGATATTTCTCAATTTACTACATTATTTTTTTTTTTATTCAGTATTTATTGAGGCCTGACTGTGTGTCAAGTTCTAGTTGATGAGGAACATATGGGAGATTGCATTCAGTTGGTGGATATGGGAGTTTAAGTGCTTCTCATTTGCTTTTGGCTTACAAGAGGTTAAGGAAGCTATACTGCCTTAGTTCTAGCCTTTAAACTGTCATCTGCCTCAGTTTTTAGTATTGAGTGTGTGGAGAGGAATAATCTTTACAATGCACACGGAATAAAATACTTCATTAAGCACATTTTCTCGAACACTTGGATGTAGTTCAGCCTGTGTGAGCAGAAGATCTGTAAGAATGATTTCCCTGGTTTCTTAGGAAGGCTGCATGGACTTAGTCCTTCTGACCTTACAATGTTTTGCATTTTACTCTTAGCATCAGCCTATAGGTCCTTGGGAACAGCCAGCCGAGCCAGCATTTATTCAGACTGCATTACCTTGTCCTCCGTGTCAAGTTCCTATTCCTGTGTAAGAGCCGGAGTTTTAACCTTTAAAAAATGTTTTTGACATAGTATGAACTTCACCTTCTTTGCTTTTTACATTTCATATTTCAAGCCTGACCTGCAAACTAGTCCCTGTGTTCTAGTTTATTCTTTCTTCTCCATGTTTGCTGTGATGCTAAACTTCTGTGCATGTCTCTTTTTGTGTTCTCTGTTAGCTAGCATGCACTAGACTTAGCTTTGCATAGCAATAGGTACTGACAAGCTCATGATTTGTTACTTTCCCTGGTGATTCTCATGTTAAAGTGCAGTTAGGTTTAGATGGTGAACTTGAAGGTGAGTGTGTGAAGGAGCCATTGGAAATTGAAGGAAAGCTTCCTGGGTGGATCAGGAAATGGTAGAGATTGAGTTTTAAGGAGTTGAACCTGGAAGGATGGGGAACCCTTTAATGTTTCCTACTTTCAGCAGAGGCCATAGATCATAGAAGAAAAGAAAACAATTGTGAGGAGCAACAAGGATTAGAAAGGGGGCTGTTAACAACAGTTAAGGTTTCAACAATAATTGGTGTTGATCTTTCCGAGACAGAATTCTGGTTTTATTTCTAAAAGTATCATTTTTCTTCTGCAACTTCCCTTATACTGTGTCATGGTACATAATCCCTCTTTCATGGTGCTGGAATCAGTTTTTTAGTATGTTAATTTTTTGAACAGGTTAGAGACATAGCTCAGTGATTAAGAGCGGTTCTGCTCTTCCAGAGGATCCAGCTTTGATTCCCAGGACCCACACGACTGCTTACAATAGCTGTCTCTAACTCCCCCTTTAGGGTATCTAATGCCTTCTTCTGGCCTCTGTGGGCATCAGGAATACATATGATACACATGTAGATTTGTGCAAAACACCCATACACATAGTAATGGAATAGATATTTTTTTAAATAAAGACTGTTTTTTTTTTAACCTAAGTGTGGTAAATATGTCTGTAATCCCAGCATTCGAGAGACAGAGGCAGGAAGATTATCACAAGTTTAAGGCCACCCTGGGCTGTCTAGTGAACTGGGCTCCAGGAAAGCCTGGGTGAGAGGGTGCCAAAGTGAAGTCCTGTTTTTTTTTTTTAAGGAAAAGAGCAAAGTAAAATTCCCCAATAATTTTGCAATATTAAATATTAGTATTGAGTAGTAGCTCATAATATTTTTTTCTGATTTTATAATTATGGAAATACTAGATTCACTGAAAAATTTGGGAAATACTTCTCTCTTCTCTTTAAGGATTAGTGTGAATTCTTTCAATGTTTGTTAGAATGGAAGCTTCTCATCATGAACTTTTCTTTTCTGCGCTTGGTTTTGCCTGTTCCAGAACATCAAACACAGTTGTTGGGAGTCATGCAATGATGCTGTTCCTTACTTCTGCATTTAGGGTCCACTTCATTGTCTTCATGGTTTGATACCTCACTTCCTTTAATTGCTGAATAAAATGGCATTGCTTGAACATCCTCTAGTTGACTTGTTTTTATGTTAATATAATATTTCACTGGTTCTTTTGAGAGTTTTGTGCACTGTATTTGATGATATTCTACCCCGGTCCCATCCCCAGCTCTTACAGATCCATCTCCACCTCCCCACCCACTCCTAACTTCGTGCATCTTTTTCCTTTACTAACTCGTTGAGGCCAGTTTATGTTGACCACATACTCATGGGTGATTCTGCCCATTTACCTATTGAAGGACATTTTGGTTGTTTTTAATAAAAAATAAAACTACTGTAGATATTCATATGCAAATATTTGTGTATGTATAACTTCTTAACTCATTTGGATAAAAACGTAGGTGTGTAACTTCTGGATCATATGGTGAGTTTATGTTTAGTTGTTTAAAAAGCTGTCCAATTGGCTACTACTTTCCATCGCATCAACATTAGTGTGGTGGTCTTCCTGCTCTGCGTCCCATTAACCCAGGGCACTGTCAGCATTTTAGTCATTTTGTTAGGTGCATGGAGGTACCGCCTGTACATTTACAGCTTCCTAATGACCTGATGCCAGGTGACTTTTCACATGTCTGTTCAGTGGCTGTTGGTTGTTTTGATAAGATTTATCCTTTGTTAGGGTCTTTTGCACATTTTTAAATTGGATTTTGCTTTTTGTTGTTAAGGGTAAGAGTTTGTATTGATTGACAGATATATTTTCCAAATGTAGTTTACTCATTTGTGTCTTGACTCCCTTCTGTAAAGTGTTCTTTGCTGAATAGACATTTTTAGTATAGTAAATTAAAACTCACTCTTCCTTTGATGGGTCATGCTTTTGGCATTATGTCTAAAAAGTAATCATGAAACCCAAGATTATTTAGGTCTTATCCTGTGTTTTGTATTTAGGTCTGTGGTTCATTTTGAGTTAATTGTGAAAGGTGTAACTCCTGTCTTCTTAAAGTGGATATAAATTTGTTCTAATACTACCATTTGTTGAAAAGAATATTTCTCCTGTAATTTGCCTTTTTCTTTGGTCATAGATCAGCTGATTTTATTTGTATGGGCCTAATTCTAGGCTCTTTGTTCTGGTTCATTAATTTATCTTTCTGTCCTTTCATCAGTACCAAATAGTGTGAACAATACAGCTTTGTAGTGAGTCTTGGGTCAGTGGATATTAGTCCTTCAGCTTTGTTCTTCATCAGCTTTGTGTTGGCTGTTGTTCATGTCTGCTGGTGCTTTTCATAGACTTTAGGCTAGATATTAGAAGTTGGCTTGTTTTGGCTTTTGAGCCAAGATGCTGTGCAGCCCAGGCTGACCTTCGCCTTGCTTTGTAGGAACCCACTATAGGGTTCAGACTGGCCTTGGCCTTTCCTTGTACACTATTGAGTTCAAGCTAACCTTGAACTCCTCATGCTCTTTGCATCTGAATGCTGGAATTACAGTGGTGTATTGCTGTGCTTGGCTTTGGATGAAGTCTTAGAATTGTGTTGAATATAGATGAAATTGAGAAAAAAGTCTTATCCTAATATTGAAGTATGTATTTTCCTGTTTTTAAACATGAAATCTTTATTTAAACCCTTAAGTTTTCTCCTTAGCATTTTTGTAGTTTTTCTTAATCATGTCATTCAGCTATACACTTAGATTTATTTTATTTTTGTGTATGCCAGTGTAAATAAGTTTCATGTTCCAGTTACTCACTGTTAGCCTTTTGCAAAGAATTGGCCTATGTATGTCACCTTTTTATATTCAATTATTATGATAATTGCTTATTTCAAATGTTTATTTTTTTTACTTAATAAAAGCTAGTGTAGTTAGTGTATTTGTTTCTGATACCCATCTTAAAGAATCCCTAATGTTTTCATTTTATTTTTTTCTTACAGAGAATGTCTGGGGAAGCATGAGGTAAGTTATAGTGTGATCTTTAAGTTTAGCTTATAGTCTCTATCACTTTGTTCTAGAGTTGTTAGAAATAACTTGCTGCTTTGGAGTTACAAAGACTGCCCAGGGGTAGTGAATTTAAAAAATATACACTGCTTTATGTGGGAATTAACCTCTGTGTGTTCACTCTAGAGTCATTATAAACCATTTTCCTTTCAGTAATAGTTGTTTAGAGGAATGTCTTTATAGGTGCTTAGTTTTGATATAAATATTATTTGTGGAAATTTTAGACCATCATGAAAGTTGATCTCAGATTAGTCATTTTGTAAATACAAGTCCCAAAAGTTTTGTGTAGATATGTGTGTTGTGCTAGTTGCCTGCTTTTTTATTTTTATTTTTAAGGTGAGTCCTCTACCATGCCATGCTGTTGGGCCCTATTCTTGCAAGAGACTTTGTGGCAGAATGTTGCCCTGTCAGAATCATACATGTATGAAAGAATGCCACCAAGTGACGGAAGTTGATGGCCGTACTGGCAAAAATAAGGTAACCTTCTTAGGATGGGAGCATGTATAATAAAATATTTGATACCAAAAATAAAGGTAACCTTCTTAGGATGGGAGCATGTATAATAAAATACTTGATACCACAAATATTTTAATATTCACATTAGATTGCTGTCCATCTTTTTTCTTTTTTTTTTTTTGAGGGAGGGAGGGAGGGAGCGAGCGAGAGAGGGAGGGAGGGAACATTCTCATGAGCCTGGAACTGGAACTCACCAAATAGGCTTGACTGGCTATCTGGAGGATACCCATGGATCTGCTTGTCTCTGCTTTTCCAATAATGGGATTCCAAGCATGGGCTACTGTGCCCAGCTTTTTATGTGGGCTCTAGGGATTGAACTCAAGCCCATTCTACATGGTGAGACCCAAACAAAAAAGAAGCATTTATGGAAGAATATCTTTTGTAATTTGATATGTTCTTTTTAAATTCTAAATACCAAAAATAGCTTAGATTTTTTAAGGGATTTATTTTTTAACTATGCATATATGTATGCGTTTCTGTGTGTGGAAATGTACATAAGTGTATAGATGCCCACCAGATCGAAAAGAAAGTGTTTAGTCTGCTGGAGCTGGAGTTACACATGATTGTTAGCTGCCTGATGTGAGTGCTGGAAACCAGCTGGTCCTCTGGAAGAGCAGGAAGTGCTCCTACTCACTGAGCTGCCTTTCTAGCCCCTAACCACTTGGAAATCATTGTATATTGTTATAATCATGACTTCATTTAGGATGCCATTCACAATTCTTAACCTTTGAATCTTAGTGTCTATGTCTATAGCTGTTTTGCACATTCTGTTTCAAATATGTTTAAAAATAATAACTTCAGTTAAAATCTTTAATCTTCTTTGCTAAGACTCTAACCCTAGTTATATAACTAATTGTTTAGAACAGAGGGAAGTGCATTGTTAAGCTAAATTGAGGTACACTTATGAGTATAACTTAATTCTATATCTAACAGTATATTGTTTCTATAGTTCAGCAGTGATTGTTTATTGGGTTAGAATGTATTGATAATGTTTTATTTGATGTTTCTCCTGTGGTTATTTTTAGGAAATAATATGCAGTTTAGTAGGGTTACTATGTATGGTCAGACTCATTGTTTTTTTTTTTTGTTGTTGTTGTTGTTTTTTTTGTTTTTACAAGACAGGGTTTCTCTGTATTGTTTTGGAGGCTGTTGGTCCAGCCCGGCCTCGAACTCACAGAGATCCCCTGCCTCTGCCTCCCGAGTGCTGGGATTAAAGGCATGCGCCACCACCACCCGGCATGGTCAGATTCATTGTAAAGGTAGTCGATTGACTTGAAGTTCCTAGGCATAAGAATGTGAATGACACTGGTCCTATTGGCAATCATGTTATTTTTATCTTGGTTGATTTTTAAGATTAATAACAGGTCCATTTTATTAATGGAATTTCTCTCTTTTTGTTGCATATCATATTTGTATGTACTTACGTATCTGCAGAAACCAGAGATCAACATCAGACATCCTTCTCAATCATTCTTCACATTGTTTGTTTGAGATAGGGTGTTTCACTGAACCTGAAACTTTCCAGTTGGCCAGACCAACTGATCAGGAAGCCCTGGGGCTCCTTCTGTTCCTGGTAGTACAGTTGCACGCCTCCATACCTGGCTTTTACATGAGTGCTGGGATTATGCAGCAAGCACTGTATCTGCTGAACAGTCTCTCGAGTGAGCCCTAATAATTTTACTTCAGAGGCTTTCTGAAGAAGCACTCTGTTTTAGTGGGGTATCTGTCTTTTGTAACCTTAATATGTGGAAATGTTAGGTAGTTTGGTGATTTATTACCTTGTTATTTTTAGGCTGGCCCAGAGTGCCTCCAGTGTGAAGAAGGATGCTCTAAACCCCGGCCTCTGGGTTGTCCTCACCCTTGTGTTTTGCCCTGTCACCCTGGAAAATGCCCTCCTTGTGTTCAAATGCTTAGATTAAAATGCCACTGCAAGATTACAAGCCTCTATGTGGAATGTAGGTAAGTAGACAGAAGAAAGCTTTCGTGTTACTAAGATATCAAGCGATGTCTCTGGAAGAATCCTGTATAATACTTAGAAAACATCATGTATCATTGAGACTAGAAGCTGAGCTTCAGTGGGGACTGCAACCTCACCTTCAGCACTGCACTCTGATGTCAGCCAGCCTAGTTCTGCTTCATTTTGTTTGGGGATTTTATAGAAAATTTGGCTAGGAAAAAGTTGTATCACTGCTGTTAGAAGTTTAGAATACTCCTGGATTGGATAGAAATTTTCCTTGTTGATAGCTACTTAGGTATGCTTTTTGATTACATTTGTTTTTATTTGAGACAGGGTTTCTCTGTGTCTTTGGAACCTGTCGTAGAACTCACTCTGTAGACCAGGCTGGCCTTGAACTTACAGAGATCCATCTGCCTCTGCCTTCTGAGTGTTGGGATTAAATGCCAGCACTACCACCACCTGGCTTTGGATCTATATTTTTTAAAGGTAGATGTTTATTATTTAAAAAAAAATATTGTCATAGTATTTATCATAGTAGTATCTGCTTTGTCTTATTTTCTTTACCTAAAACATATACGTTATGTAGAGGGAAAAAAAATACCACTGTTTTCTTGATAGATCTAACATAATTTATCATGTATAGCTGCCACTTTTACTTTAGACTTCAGAGGCTTGTGGTTGTGTCTTCAAATTAGTTTTTTTCCAGCTCCTTTGGACATGTTTCCATCTGTTTTTCATCATTTTCCAACTTTTTGGTACAATAACAACTCATGGTTGATTTTGGAACTGGTTATTTTGCCTGGAAATTATTTGCTTGTTATGTTTTTCAAGTTTATTTTTCATAATAGCTTTTCAAAGTAGTTGCATATAATTTTTTAGAAATCTAATTTTCCTGTTATTCTTGACCTTTTTTATTTTTTCTTAGAACTTTTTAAAATATTATTTGTGTGTGTATGCATATGCACGTACATACTTTTGCACACCATGGCACATGTGTGGAGGTCAGAGGACAACTTTATGCAGTCATTTCCCTCCTCTACCTTTATTTGGGTTCTGCAGATTCTACTAGATTGTCAGGTTTGTGCGGCAAGTGCCTCTACCTGCTGAGCCATCTCTCCAGCCCCCATGGTACCTTGAGTTGAGGATAATTGTTTTAGGCATAATTTAAATGTTCTGTGACAAAAATGAATTAAGATACTTTTATGGATATGCTTAAAATCATGAATGTTTAGAAAACATACACAAATGGACTTTGATTTTAATGTCATCAAAATTTTTCCCATTTTTAGAAAAATAACCACAGCTGATATAAATGAAAAGAACCTCCTCAGTTGCTGCAAAAACCAGTGCCCCAAAGAGGTAAGCTACAATTGGTCTTTTAAGTTGGCTTCCTTGGACATTGCTCTTCTGGGTTTTCTCCTTGTTGGCTGCCTCAATTCAGGTCCTATCTGGGCCCACTAAAATGTGATGTCTGAAAAAGCTTATGATGAATGCACATCTCTGTTGACTTGGACTGTCTTAGGATTTCTATTGCTGTGACTACCACAACTCTTATAAAAGAAAACATTTATTGTGGTGGCTCTCTTACAGTTCAGAGGTTCAGTAAATATCATCATGGTGGGACATGGCAGTGTGCAGGCAGATGTGGTGCTGGAGAAGTAGCTGAGAGTCCTCTGTCTTGCAGGCAACAGGAAGTGGTCTGAGACACTGGGTGGTATCTTGAGCATATAAGAAACCTCAAAGCCCACCCACCTCCACAGTGTGAGACATTTTCTCCAAGAAGACCACACCTACTCCAAAAAGGCCACACCTCCCAATAGTGCCACTCCCTTTGGGGGACATTCTCTTTCAAACCACCACAGGAGTCACAGAGGTTTAGGACTAGAAGTGACCTTTTTTTTTTTTTTTCAAGAGAACAGTATTACAGGTTTTACTGCAGAAAATAGTGACTCAGTGCTTACTGTCTAAGATAGGATTCAAAATATAGATTAAAACTGTGAGCCACAGGCAGTTAGATAGCAGATTATTAAAAACAAAAACAACCCTCACTGCAGAGCCTTATCGGAGTTGCAGCTCAGGCCCCAAAACAAGGCCATTCTCAAGCTGCTTATGTTGTGTAAACTTTGGTTATGGTTAATTTGGGTGTATGGTATTTTTTTATTTGCAGGTTTTAAAATAATATTTTTAAAATAAGATGAAATTCATATGTATGTACATAGCCTATGTGTATCATTTAATACAGCTAGGAAGTCAATATTTTATAATTCTATATTCATTAAAAAATTTCTGGCATCTCAAAAGTCTGTCAAAGTCTTGTTCTGAATGCATTTCTTTCTCTCTATTCTAAATGTTATCATCATTTGCTGTAAAATTTTTAAATTTTTTTTGTTGGGGGTCCAGGGTGCATGTGTGGAAGTCAGAGAGCAGCTCTGTGGTATTGGGTTTCCTCCACCCTTATGTAGGTTCTGGAGATGGAACTCAGATTGCCAGGCCTGGTCAGCAAGTCTGAGCACTTTGACCGGCTGAGCCATGTCACTGTCCCTTGTCACTTGCCGTTTATTTATAGGTCTTGCTGCAGGTATGTCATAAGAGTAATCTATAGTTAGTGAATAAATATTTGGGTTATATCTACTTTGGGTTGTTATCAAAAAACACTTGTGCTGCCTTGTCCTATGTCAGCTTGACACACTACAATTATCTGAAAGGAGGGAGCCTCAATTGAGAAAATGCCTTCATAAGATCTGGCTGTAGGGGATTCTCTTGATTGATGGGGAAGGGTCCTGCCTATTCTAGGTTGTGTCACCACTGGGCTGGTGGTCCTAGGTTCTATAAGAAAGCAGACTGAGCAAGCCTTCGGGAGCAAGCCAGTAAGCAGTACTTCTCCATGGCTTCTGCATCAGCTTCTCCCTTCTCATTCCTGCCCTGTTTGAGTTCCTGTCCTAACTTCCTGTGGTGATGAACAACAGTATGGAAATGTCAGTAAAATAAACCCATTCCTTCCCAACTTGCTTTTTGGTCATGCTGTTCGTTGTAGCAATAGAAACCCTAAGATAACCCTGCAATGAACACTTGCTGCTTTGTGTGTGCACAGGTTCCTGTAGGCACAAAGAAGTGGTGCAGTTCTTTGCCCACAGGGAATGTTTAATTTCAACCTTAGTAAATCATATTGATTTCCAAAACAGCTATATCAATTTATTGCCAGTGAAGTTTCCAATTATGGATAATTATCAGGTTTTCTTGCTTTTGTTACGTGAGTTTCTGTTGTTTCCTGTTCTTGCCAATACTTTGAATTAGCCTTTTATTATTATTATTATTTTGTATCTTAAGCTTTTTCTCCTGATCAGTAGTGAGTGAGTGAGTAGTTCTTTGGGATTTTGGCATCACTTTTGCCTTTGGGTGTTTGGTGGACATACCAGCACAGTGTACTAGTGAACAAGTTTCACTCCTAGTTGTAAGCTACAGAACTAGTGTGGAATAACTTATGGAAAGAGAGAGAGGGAGAAGAGAGGAGAGAAAAGGAGACAGATAGACAGACAGACAGACAGAATAGAAAGAGAAAATATGAATGAATGTCTTAAGGAGGACATTGGGTGTTGGTATACAGAATCTGAAAGAAATACCTTACAGCCAAGCATTCAGACGGGCAGGTTCTATGTCATCTTAAGGAATTGGTCTCTACAGTGAGGCGTCTGTCTGTCTTGCCTCCTCTCCTTGACTGCTTCACCTAGGGACTAGGGGCTCCTCTTGACATTGGCAGCTACAGACATAAGGCAGGAACCTGGAATAGCTAATGGTAGCCCTGGCTGTGATACCAAGTCTTGAAGTGGAGATTGAGAATCTTAAAATTTTCTAATAAAAATAATTTACATAAATAATTGTAAAAGAAATAGGGGAACTCTGTAGTCCCTTAGTTCTTGACTTCTGTCAGAACTAAGACAGGCAAGAGCATTGTAGACTTAATGAGATGGTGAGGTAAAATGAAGGATTTGAGGAAGACGTGTAATTTTTGCTCAGAAGATCCAGCCAGAGAAAGAGACTTGCATACTATTGGTGAGTTCTGGGAAGTATGAGTACTTTTAGTATGAGGCAGAAGTGACATGGGGCCAATGCTTTCCACCCTTTCATCAACCTCTAATCCGTTGGAGGAATATAGCAGTGATGAGTAAAAGGCCACACTGGAGTCATGATTCCTTCATTGTCTTTTGTATACCTTTATTCCCTTTTCCCTTTAGAATCATTAATTTCAAACTGAAGTATAAGATTGGAATAGAAGAGAATGCTTCATGTGGAGACTTTCAGGATAGAACATAGTAAATAATTAAAGACAATTAAGCTTATGCTTTGTGGCACTTAGAGTTGTCTTGACTATCTAAATAATATGTGTTAATGTAGTGTCAAGGATAGATGTTTTAGAGTGAAAGGCTAAGCCATGTGACAATGACAAGAAATCTTCCTTTCTCATGTAAGGAAGAGGTAGTATTCTTGTCCTCCATGTGTTTGCCCATTGATCCACATTAGCCAGATGCCTGCCCTCTGTCACACATGCCTGCTTCCATTACTGCTCCAGGGTTTGTCATTTCCAGAACTCTGAGAAGGGACAAACATACTTTAAGGCACAAATCACTTATACTTGCTTACTTCCCATTGGCTTAGTCACCTGACTGTAGGGTGACAGTGACATTTATGCTTAAGTGGAACATAAGAATATTAAAATTTTCTAATAATTTGTAGAAATAATTATAATAAATTGTCTTAAAAAACTGATGGATCAGATCATGCATTATTCAGGATTAACTGGCAGTATGTGTGAGGGACTCTTAAAACAACTATTAAGGAGACAGGGAAGGTATGGTATGACCAAAATGTAAATGACCAATTGCTTTTTTGTTTTTAGCTTCCTTGTGGCCACAGATGCAAAGAAATGTGTCATCCTGGTGAATGCCCCTTTAATTGTAACCAGAAAGTAAAACTTAGATGCCCTTGTAAGAGAATAAAGCGGGTACGTATTTTAAATGACAGAATTTCTGTTTAACTTGTTTTGTGTGTTGGTTAGTTTTATGGCTTTAATTTTAAGGTTCTATTAAACTAGTATATATTAAGCCTAGTTATTTCTGTAAATGCTCATTTAAAAAAGTCAGCACTGGCAGTTGTATTTTTGTAACTTAGTAGAAGATGGTTTTCTGTTGGATCAAGCTCGGTGTCTTGTAGACAGAAAGCTCTATAACTGTTCAGGAAAACTATTGGGCTAGCAGCACCAAATGTGTGTCTACTTTGGTGAGGTAGCATGGAGCACTATTGAAGTCTTGGCTCACCATTGCACTGTTCACCCTAGTGCACAGTCAGCATAGGTGGTTGATAGTGTTCTACCAGACAGCGGACAGGTGGAGCATTTCCTTTATCCCAGAAAGCTCTGCTAGACAATACTGCTCTAGAACATTCTAGAACATTTCCTGGAAGCTTTGGAAGAATGGCAGGAAGCAAGGATAAAAATGACATTCAGCATGTAGTAAATTATTAAGTTGATTATTTAAATTTTATAGTTTTCATTATTTTAATTAAATAGAATAGGGGGATCTTGGAGGGTAACCCATGTCAGATCCCACGCAGCATCCTGTAACTCCAGTTCCAGGGGTTTCTTTCCCTATTCTGGCCTTTAAGCACTGCATTCATGGGCACCTACCCCTAGTCAGAAAAAAGATAGAGAATAAAGGAGTAACCATCTGAACCAAGATACATAATGCTTAGTGAATGTAGTATACTTACAATCTTCAGCTGATAAATAAACTTTGCTGGCATACAGATGTGATTTGAAAGAAAAATTGACTAAAAATTTCAATTTCTGTTATTTGTAGGAATTGCCATGCAATAAAATACGTGAAAATCAGGTTTCAGTGGAATGTGATGCAACATGCAGGGAGATGAAGCGGAAAGCATCTGAGGTGATGGCATTACTAATGTGCTCAGGGCCTTTTCTCCACCACTTGCACTTACGTTACAAAAGCCTCCTTGTATAGGCATATTTTGAACCCAAGGTAGTTTTATTGCTTGCTATGTATCTAAGCTTTTTGTCTTTTACACCCTTTAATGCATTTGCTCTGGCCCATAGCCATTTGCTTAATACCATTAGCTTCTTGAAAATTTGGCTAAAATAATGCATGCATAAGATTTAGGGATGGTTTGCAGTTTGAGATGTCTTTAGTGTTGATTCTGCCTACCAAACTAACCAGTTCACAAATAATTGGTTTTGCTGATTTAAGTCTTGCCTTCCAGATAGGCATTATAAAGAAGTGATCAGTTTCTACTTTAGAGTCTTCATGACTTGAATTGTGATCTAATCTCATATAGCTGGTAAGAGGAAATGTTTATTTAATCATATATAAATTATATTCACGCTGGGCGTTGGTGGCGCACTCCTTTAATCCCAGCACTTGGGAGGAAGAGGCAGGCAGATCTCTGTGAGTTCAAGGCCAGCCTGGTCTACAGAGCGAGTTCCAGGACAGCCTCCAAAACAATACAGAGAAACCCTGACTTAGAAAAAAAAAAAAACAGACAAAAATAATAATAATATTCACTATCCTGAATCTATTGGATGAAACCTTGGTAAATTTCCAGTATAATATTTGCATTTTTAAGGGTCGGAAGATGCCAAGCATCTACAAAAGATGTGATATCTAGTTGTTAATTTTGTTTTCAAATGTGAATAGATTAAAGAAGCAGAAGCCAACGCTGCTCTGGAAGAAGAAAAACGAAGACAGCAGGTACCTACCTCAGTGACAGGCAGACTTGTCTCTTCCTTAGTTGTTGTCCAACCTGCAGCATGGGTGGCCTAGGGTAACCGAATGCAGCCCAGCATTGAGTTTGTTCTATATATCAAAATGCTCTTGAAATACTCTGATTTGTCTTATTGACAAATGCCGTTTTACATTAATAAATCCACTGGTAGATGGTCTATAAGTGTAGCTTATGACTACAGTAATGGGTATGTTAATGAAGATGTATATTTTCTTCAACTAAACCGTGTTGTGTAGTAGGTAGTATATATTTGTTTAATGGTCATCACTGTTTAGTCAGTTACTGTGTACTGTGCATTATTATATCATTGTATAGGAACTGTGGGTGGGTGCTTACCAGGATGATAAAAAACAACATTTGACAATGGCTTATACTCCAGGCTACCTTCTTTTACCATCAGTTTTCAGTTCTTCCTCTAATAATCATTGGCATTAAAGCATAATGCATTTTTCCCCTTTAAGAATTTTAACTGTATCTTTAAAGTGGGGTGGGTATATGATAAAGAAAAGAATCTAGTTGAGGCAGCGTTCTTTCTTTACTCATTTGGATTTCTGTGTTACAAGCCTCTAATTCATATTTCCTGCATAATCAAAAGGCTAAAATTATATATGGAGCATCTCTGCCTTTTGAGGAAGGTGCTCTTGAGGTATAAAATGGTGTTAAATTAAAAAAAAGCTATTGTCTGCATTTTAGAGTCCCTTTGATTCAATCAGTTGCATGCTTAATATCAAAGACAGGCTTCCAGACTAACAGAATTACTTACTTTATTGGCACTCAGTTCTGTTTGTTTACCTAACTAAACTCTAACATTTTGTTGAATACAGTCAGTAGGAGGTGAGCGGATTTTTGTTGTTGTTTAAATCAAATTAATATATTTATTATACTGTTACTGTCAAAACATTAATTTTCATTTCAATAGAGTTACAGACCAGTGTATTTTTGACTTTAATGCAAATGTCACCATTCTGCTGTAGGCTGAACTGGAAGCTTTTGAAAACAGACTGAAGGGTCGCCGGAAGAAGAACAAGAGGAGAGATGAGGTGGCAGTGGAGCCGTCTCTTTGGCAGAAGTACAGCCCCTACCTCCTTCCGGTGCTTGGAGTCGTGGTGGCAGCGCTTGTGTGGTACATTGCCTATGGTGTGGACTGATGATTCTTTCAACCTCTTCATATACCTCAGACTGGAGTTACGTGAACGTTCTGTTTAAGATATTCGAAAACGTGCGTTGTGGAACATGATACACGTTCACAGTTTTCTGTGTCCTTGTCTGGCTATAGTTAGGACAGATACTTAGCTTTATCTGAGTTAGAACAGTTACCGGGGGCAGTGAAAGAAACTGTCTAAAGTCAGCATGACTGCAGTTACAAAGCAGGTCAGAGAGCATTGCACTTCCTTGGTCTTTTTTTCTGATAATTCCCATGTTCAATACTTCATCCATTTTGTGAATTCAGATAAAACTGAGCCATATGTGCAGCAACGGGGATATTTCTCTGGTTACTTACTGGGTACTTTTTCTTGATCATGTAACTTTGTACTTTTTTAAAGAAGTGATTCTGTAAAGGAACCTTAAATTCTAACATAAGCCTTTATAATTAGATTCTAGATTAGTGTATTAGAGAGGAATTTTATTTGTCATTGAAGCAAATTTTACACTGTATTCCTCAGAAAATACAAACAAATGCCAGATTAGATTCCTTATGGGAAGCTGTTTTTTTGTGCAAGAAGCTTTAACTGAAGTTGGCATGTTTTGTAAAACTTGTTGTATGTATCTTTTTATGATAATAATAAAGGAAAACTAATTTCTGAGCAATATGTGCTGAGCACAGGGCTTGTGAGATTTATGTACTTGGTTTCATTTCTCGTTACTGCAATTCTTGATATAGTATACCTGGGAATAATTAATTTTATGAAATCAAACTGATAATAACAAGCCAAATTACATAGATTTGTAAGTCATTTAAAGTAGTTTTGCTATTTAATTTTTGTATTGCTTTCATTAAAAAATTTCATGCCAAATTTGTAATAAAGAATATTTATTATTATTTATAATACTCAGGAACTCCTAATTTTAGATATTAGTATTGATGACTAAAGCTCTAGTGATATTGTAGAAACAAGAACACAGTAATATTAGGAGTGACAATGTACATTTTAATGTAACTCCAAAGGAAGATTCTAAAATCTGCATAAGAGAGCAAGCAAAGACTCAGAGAAAATGAGTGTGATTTCCTGTGGTAAGTGGTGTTAAAAAAATAATAAATGGGGCCAGAGAGATGGCTGAAAGCTGCGAACACTGTCTGTTCTTCCAGAGGACTTGGGTTTGATTTCTAGCACCCACATGGCAGCTCACAACCAGCTTTGTTCTCCAGTCCGTGGGCATCCGATGCCCTCTTCCAGCTTCCACAGGCACACATGTGGTATGCAGAAGAAAGCACATATACACATAAACAAAAATAAATAATTATTTACAAACCAAACGAAACAAGACAAGAAACAGTATAGGAAATAATAGTAGGATGGAAGGACACTAGTTCAGAGAGACCAGTGTTTGAACTGTGACCCTGTCTGAAGACTGAGGGAAAGTCTGAGAAGAGAAAGCAGTAGATACAAAGTCACTAAATTTGCAACTTGATGCATTTAGCACAGCTTAAGATCAGTAAGATGGGCTGAGAAGAATTCAAGTACAATGTAAATTGAGAGGGTGCAATACTTCAGGCTATTTCTGGTGGGGAAAGACCATGCTAAGAATTTGGGCTTTATTGTAGTTGGAATGGGCAGCATTGAACAGTTTTAAGTAAAGAAGAGACTTTTGTTTTGGTTTTTGCAATTGCTGGCTCCTGTGAGGAACAGAGACTGCAAGCGGTGATTCAGCGGTGGGGTTCCAGGAAGAGAGAGGACACAGTCAGGAAGCAGTCCAGGCTTCAAGCTCGGGATTGTGATTCAGTTATGTGGGACTCCAGTGACTGTCATGAAGATGCTGCAAAAGTTTCTGTCTGAGAAGAATGCGAGAAATACAAGGAGGTCGTGCATACCTTAGGTCAAGGTGATCTTTTGTCTAAATCCTGAAGTAGAAAGCTGTCCTTTTGATTATAGTGAGACGGCAAACGGACGGAAGAGGAGCTGAGACGGTAGTCACCAGGAATTGCAGAAGTAAACTTGTTCATCTTATTCTCCTGCTTTGCTTTGTGACATTAACACAATGCAAAAAAATGCTAAGGTTTATGTTTATTAAAATGTGTGGAATATTACATGGAAATTAAAAAAAATTTAATTTCAGTTTAAGCATCTCCAATACCTAGTGTTACTTTTACTGTTCACATCAAAATAAAGGTAGATCTCAAACAAGAGTCATTGTTGCTAAAATTGGCAAAGGAATTTTCACTTTTTGTAAAGTGAAATATGTTCACTTTTTGTAAAGAAGTTTTAATTCCTGAGTTTTGTGGCTTTTTTGTTTTTTGAGACAGGGTTTCTCTGTGTACTCTTGGCTGTCCTGGAACTCACTCTGTAGACCAGGCTGGCCTCGAACTCACAGAGATCCGCCTGCCTCTGCCTCCAGAGTACTGGGTTCAAAGGCGTTTGCCACCTCACCTGGCTGAGTTTCAGGGCTATCAATGGTAAGGATTTTAAACACAGGTAAGTCTTATGTGGGAGTGTGTAGGATTTTAACACCAAATGTCCAGAGCTTTCAAGAAATGTCTTTGATGTGGCTTCCCACCTTCTTACCTCTAATATTCTTTTGTTGCCCAATGGGTCCTTGGTTTCTGAGTCCCTGCTACAGTGACTAACACTCCCTACCCCAGCTATGTGCATAATTTCTTGCGGCTTCTTCCATTTCCGCAGACAACAAAGGAGTGAGGAGCCAGGTTAAGATACAGTGGGGGAGAAATGGCCTCTTGATGAGCTCAGTGCTGGGGGCGTCTGCCTCAGCTTCAGGCCTCTTATAGTCAAAAATCATTGAAACCTAGCAATATTCTCCAGCCTCCAGGGCATGGTGGTACGTGAGAATTATTCCAGCACCCAGGAGGCTGAGATAGCAGGGTTGTGAGTTCTAGACCAGGCTGAACTACACAGCAAGACCCTATGTCAAAAACCAGAGATGCAGTGGGAGCCAACATTTCTGGGGCTAGCTAAGGGCAGAAAGGTGACTCCTGCTCTTAGTCTTCCTGTCCTGGGAATGGGAAGTAAGGCAGATGGCTAAGCCCGGGAACCCAAGTGAACACTCCTCTTCCGTCCTGTGGAAGCTGTCTTCTGCTGAATGGCAGTAATGGGGCCACCTAACCTTGGGCCTTAGGTCCTTGTAACTAAAGAGCTTCATAGATTGGGAAAGAAGCACAGCAGCAGCTACTGCCTCCTGGGAGAAACGGGATTAGGAGAAACGGGAGCAATCAGGAGGCCCCTTCTCTCTCTAGAGACCTGTCAGAGACCCCAGACGAAGAGCCATTTTTATACATTTTAGAATCTTGGTTTCTGAAATGCTTGGCATAGAGCACTTAAGAAATGTAAATGTTGATGAGTGGCTCAGTCTCCCACCTTTATGACTTCTCTAGTAAATGGATTTGCCCCTCAGGACAGCAACAGGGACCCTGGAAATGGAGTCACCTTCTTTCTTTTTTTCCCCTTTTACTGAAGATAGATTTTTTTTCTCTTACATGACATGTTCTGATTATGGTTTCCTTTACTACTCCCAGATCTTCTCTGATCTGGGTTTACCTCCTTTCTGTCTCTCATTACAAAACAAATAGGCTTCTAGGGGATAATAAAACAGAGACTAACACATTGAATAGGATGAAAGAAACAAGGAAAAGAGCTCAAGAAAAGGCATAAGAAACAGCCCCGTTCATTCTCACTCAGGAATACACAAAAACTATACACTGTAAGCTATAATGCATATAAAAGGACCTGTAGGATAAAGGGGGTGGGGTGTCCTTATATGATGTCATGAGACAAGGAACTTCCAATGTTACTGAGTTTGTTTTCTTGTTGTTCTGTCTACTGCTGGGCATTCAGTACTTTGTGTTCCCAGTGAGATTCCCCCTGGAAAAAACTAAATTTTCATTTGCAAGTGGCTATCAGTTGTAGATCTCTCCTGGGTTAGGGATGAAGGACCTCATCTGGTACAGGCGTGTGTAGACACTGCATGCTGCCTCAGTTTCTGTGAGTTTTAAAGTTCATACATACATAGATCCTGTGGCTTTAGGGGGCCTTGTTTTCTTGGTGCCCTCTAAGCCTTCTGGCTCCTAACATTCTTACCTGCCTCCTTTGTGCAGGGTTCCCTGAGCTCTGGGAGGAGGGATTTGATGAAGACATCCCATTTAGGGCTGAGTGTTGCATATTATCTGGGTGTGGTATTTGTTCCCATCTGCTGCAGGAGGAAGCTTCTCTGATGATGGTTGAGAAGGCACTATGAGTATAGTAGAGTGTCATTAGGAGTCATTTTGTTGCTTTTTTTTTTTCTTAACAGAGGTACTTGTGTTTGCCCTAGGTCTCTGGGCAATCCAGTGTCTGATTCTTGGTCACCCAGCAATGTCAAGTATGAGTTCATCTCATGGGATGGGCCTTCAGTCAAATCAGATATTGGTTATTCCCACAAACTTTGTGCCACTGTTGCCCAAGCTTATCTTGCAGACAGGACACCATTGTAAATCAAAGGGTCTGTGTCTGGCTCGATGTTTGTTTCTCTTTTGGGAGTGTGTAGAGTACCGTCCTGTACCAAAGCCTAGGATGTAAGAGCGAAGTCTCTATGTAGGCACAAACTTGGCTTCTCTATGTTCAGTCTGTGTGTTATCTTCAGCAATAGGGCCTTGCCTTTATTTGTGGAAAGCAACCTGTAGCCTTTGCAATAGCCTGGATTGTTTGAGCATTCCCGTGGGACCCCTTTGGCCAGCAACTGAATTAGATGTAATCCATTCCCAGTACTGGAAGCTTCATTTGGTGATAATAGATGGCCAGTTGGATCTCTGTCTACTCCTTACTCGGAGTTTTTATTTGGATCATCTTCATATATTTCTATATTTTAGGAAGCTGCTACTACACCAGGTTTCCAAACTACCCCTCAAATTGCCCTTAATTTTAGTTGTCTCTACCCAAATTCTCTCTGCACCTTTAAGCTAATTTCCTATAAGTCTCCTAAAAAATGCTATCAAAATCATTTATTTTAGCATCTTGAGATGTGCAGTATATAATTGTTGTCTGTTATCAAAGCATACCTTAAAATGGTACACCGGAACTTTATACGTCTGTTTTGCTGTGAGATCCTTCACTTTGAGGGTTCTGTTTGTTCATAAGACTCAAAGCAGATGGAGTACAGCATGTTTTTCCTATGACAAACATATACGGCCATTTTTGTCAGTAATCCCATAAGTCTCTTTGACCTTTGTTTTTATTTTAAATTATGTGATTAGTTTGATATATGCTTAAGATGCTAGACAAAAGTTTCAGAATGGTATCAGAAATGTTTAATTTTTGGAAAATAGGATTATTTCAAACATTAGACAGGTATTACCTTTTTTTTTTTTTAATAAATTGAGTTGGGGGCTGGGCAGTGGTGGTGCACACCTTTAATCCCAGCACTTGGGAGGCAGAGGCAGGCGGATCTCTGTGAGTTCGAGGCCGGGCTGGACCGACAGCCTCCAAAACAATACAGAGAAACCCTGTCTCGTAAAACCAAAAAAAAAAAAAAAAAAAAAATTAACTTGGGGATTTGGTTCAATGGTGCCTAGCAAGCCAGCAGCCACAGCTCCAAGTAATGTCAGTTGAAGTACTTATGTGACAGATTCTGTTTTAAAGAATAATTCCAATAGGCCATTAAAGGTCACAGTGAACACTCCTTATAATTAAACTAACTTAAATATAAGGTATATCTGATTTCTTAGGGTATGAAAGTTAATTACTAAGTATAAACAGGTGTTCACCCCCTTTTTTTTCTTTAACTCTCCCCCCCAGCAGCATACCTCAGCTACTGGTTTTGGTACTCGTGGTAACTGGAGCTGTTAGAAGGGAGTGGGTCATGTTTCCCTTTTCAGTACAGTCAGTTTTAGGAACTCATGCAGAAAGCAAGGGAGACTTCAGAGTTCTCACCAGACCTCCACCAGGGGGCAGAACATGGAAAAGGAGGCTCATGGGCTACATTCACCCAGTGCTCCATTCACAGACCAAGGGACTCTGGCCCTCAAGGTGCTGCTGGCAGATGTGCCTGCTGGGCTCTGGATTCCCAGATGGGTGCCCTGTGGATGGTGGTGAGGCAGTGCCTCAGTAAGTTACAAAATGCCATGGCCTCTGGGGAATGTCAAGGCAGCTCTTCTCATCTGAGCTAGAGACTGCATGCGAAATGCTTAGTGTAAAGTCTGTGTGCTAGAAAATGCGAGGTTGTGAATTAGCGAACATTTATTTAGATAGTGTGTTACTGATGTGGGAACAACGTGAAGTCAGTGTTCCACCTCTTTAACTACGCATCACATATAAGGTATTTCCCAGACTGCATGACTCCTGGAAGCAAAACACCCATTACCACTCCCTTCCAGTTGTGCAAATGTGCCTTTGTCCACACAATGACACTCAAGGGACAGGTCACATAGTCTACTGACTGTGTGGCCTCCTCTAATGGAGATGGACTGCTTCAGTATAACCCAGTAATTTTTGAAAATTTAAAGATTTTGATTGAAATTGGATTTAAAAATGTCTAAGAAAACTTAATGAAGTCTTTGGCCCCTTTATTTTATCCCCTTCCTCCTATCTCCCCCCCTCCCTCCTTTCCTTCCTTCCTCCCTTCCCTTTTCCTTCCCTCCAGTCCTGTTCAGTTCTGTTCTTCCCCCCCTCCCTCCTTGGTGGCAATGTAATTTCTGCAGTGGAATGTCTCTAGTGCCTCCCTTGCTGCCTTAAGGAACGTGGCTCTCTGTGAATGACAGGTGTGGATTGGCTGGCCCCTGGTATCAACCTGTGGATGCTCTTGGCAGGCAGTCCCAGGCTTGAGTTTTTCCGGTCCATGAAGCCTGAGCAGCATCAAAAAGCAGTTTCCTCCCTAAACTTGCAACAGAAGATAGATGTGCAATTTGTGCGATACAAATAATGCCCGCCTTCAAAACCTTCCATATTTTTCCAACACAACAAACTTGGCATTGAATCGCCAGTGCCTGTGGCATCGTTTTGGTACTTTGCTGGCTAGATTCCTGCTTGAGATGTGATGAGGAGAGCAGTTCCTTACACTGTCACTCTGTAACAAAGTCCTGACCTTTGCTGCTCCTGTCCTGTAGTTTAAGGTTGTTGTTTGTTTTGTTTTTGTTTGTTTCCTGGTGTGGAGGATGGGTGTAGACTCTTCCCATCTGCCTTAGAAGAATAACTTTTTTGAAGGCAGGGGTGGGTATGGAGGAACTGTCATTGAGGGTTATGGGTAGGACCCAGAGACGTGAGTGAAGGGAGGGAGTGGTCTGCGGGTGGGGTCTGCCCAGCAGACAAAATATGGGGCTCCCATCCCCTGAGTACAACTTCACTCTGAGTGAGGAGAAAGACATCCGTAGTGCCTTCCCATAGAGCAGAGAAAAGCGGCCGAGATAGAGTGGACGGAGGAAAAAGACATGTTCACGAAACGGCCTACCGCCCTTGCTCCGGAGGAGCGCAGTCGCCGATCTAGCGCCCCAAAGAGGGTAAGATCCTCACTCCGTGCTCCTCCCGCGCGCGCGCGCGCGCGCACACACACACACACACACACACACACACACACACACACACACACACACACACACACACACGTTGCTTATCCCGAGTCCTGGTGACTTCAGAGTCAATCCTTTTCTCCCTTGTCCCTTCCTCCCTCCTGTCCGTGGGTGCCACCTCCTTCCTGTCAGTGGGTCAGTGCCACTTCTCGGTGGCACGCTCACTGCCCTGCAGCCGGTCCCTAGGCGGACGGTCCTCCACTCTAGTGGCTTGGCGTCGGGGACGGACGCTGGCAGTCATGCACAGGGTTTTCTTCAGCGTTCGGGTCAGCTCCGTGCGGAGAGCCCACTGCTCCTGTCCTGGGCGATGCTACCTCTCCTGCAGAGTCCCTTCTACTGCCGCCCTCCAAGCACCGAGTGGGCTTGGCTGCGCGCGCGTTCCAGGGGAGGCTGCAGGTGGAGCCGTCGGACCCGGCCCCTCGGGGACTGGTGGCTTCCTCTCCGGGTCCACGATCCAGGCACTCGGAAGCTGGAAGGATTGCGTCGGAGCCCCGCCTGCCCCAGACGTAAGCCTGCAACCCCTATTGCTCTCAGCCCGGCTGCGCGCGCAGTGACTAGGTCCCATTTGCAGAAGCGTCCCCCATTTGGGGACCAGACAGCTCCCCGGGATAGCCTCAAGTGTTGGAACCGCGAAACAGAGTGCTGGGAACGCTCTCAAACTTTCTCTCAGGCGGGTACCGGGCCCCGAAGCTCCTGGCGCTGTCGGCGGATTGCGGCGCAGGCTTTGAGATGCTAGGGTATGGGACGGTTTTCAAGCAAGGGGTGGTCTTGCTGCCATGCTCTCCAGAGAAAGGGAAGGGCACTGCAGAGGGTTCTCCTGACTCGAGCCTCGGGAAACTCAGTCTAGGTTGTAGCCACCCTTGGCAACCGCGTCATCAGCGTCCCGGAATTTGCTGGTTCCCTCCAGGGTCCCAGCTGCGCAGAGGCAGTGTCGGCGCGGAAAGGGCTGGCTAGGTGTCCTGTCGGGTCCTGCTAGAACTCAGTCTGGAATTTCCATGCCGGCGCCCTGGAGGCCCGGAGGATGGCAGTGTAGGCACTCTGCGAGGCTGCCCATTTTGGGGACCGAGTTGGGGTCTCAGTCTCTAGCCTCTCGGCAAAGTTGTCCCGGTAATCCACTCCTACTGAAACTTCCTAGAACAAGGCGCTGAGGAAGCTTGCTGTACAGGGCTTCAAGAATCTACGTCCGCGTCTGTGCTTATAGTTATTCCATTTTTAAGATTTGGAAGACCCTACCGATGGACACGAAAATCTGCAAGAGAATATGAGTGCCACCAGAATGGGAGCCAAGCCAGGGATCACCGTTGATTGTTGTTCAAGGACGTATTCTGGCAGAGTTGAAGTTAGAAGTGCTGCAAATAGTAATTTTGGCAAATCCCCCAAGCAAACAACAAACTAGGTTTTTAGGGCGCATATTCAGTCACAACACCGCCAACATTCGCTGGCTTTCTGGTACCCACTAGTCTTGTATGAGATTGCTCAAAATCAGTTTCTAACACCGGGGTTTTGGGGTTGATAAATGCCCGTGTAACTGCTCAGCAGAGCAGTTAAGACCTGTAGATTCCTCCCTGGGACTCCATGCGTTTTCATTGTATAAATTAGCTTTAGAGTGCTGGGAACATGGAGTAACCTGAACCTCAGGAAGCTGTGAAACTTTCGGAGGGGGCCCATTCCAGAAAGTTCCTTGTGGGATAGGGTTACAATACAAATAAAAGCCTAAGTTGTCCTTCCAGTGGAGTAAGGGGAGGAGGGAAGAAATGCTTTTCAAGAACGAGGGTTTTCCTTTTTAAAGACACAAAATTGACTCCACCATAAACTTTCCCCTTAAAGTTGCAGAAATCCCGGCGATAGCAGAGTGGACACCAGGGCCATTGTATCTGCCATATTGGAAAGAAAAGGGTGGTGGTGGGGGAACTGCATAGCTTCAGGATTAAACAGGGGAAGGACCGGTAGGGAGGGGCAAGAGGTACACATAAATGCAGTTAGGCTCACTGTGGTCTGGGTGGTTATCATCCCAGGTGGGGTCTGTAAAGCTCAAGGACAGCCATCCAGGGTACTGTCAGTTTCCAGACTGGAATGATTGATCCTGTGTAGCCATTGCTTGCGAGTCTCACCGTGGGCTGCTATCCCTCTTAAGACTCACAGTTCCTGGAAGGTCTCAGTGCAACCACCGTGAATTTTGAGGTGCCACTCTGGGGTATCTGGACCAGGTATCATAAAAGCTGGTGGAGGACAGTGTCATCATGTCCCTACAAAGCTGGCTTGTGCTTCATTCAGACTCAAAGGGGAGCAAGCCAATTGGGTTTATTTAGAGCTCATCACCGCCCGCCCCGTGTGTGACCATTTGCAGATAGACATTCTTTAAATAATTGCGTGCCTGTGTGCAGAGAGAGCTAAGCAGAAAACAAACCGGAAGTTTGTGGCTAAAGGAGTTGCAAAGTGAAGATAAAAAAGTAGCTTTTGTTATCTGTTAGATAGCCTCAGGCCTCATTGAGTCTGAGCCTTTAATAAAAGCAGCCTCTGATCCCCGATAATGAGATTGACGACTACCTTAAATGCCATCCTACAGCCTTCATCCAGTAGCTGATGGAAGCAAAGACAGACACCCACAGCTAAACACTGAACTGAACTCCTGGTATCCAGTTGCAGAGAGGGAGGAGTGATGAGCAAAGGGGTCAAGACCAGGCTGGAGAAACCCACAGAAACAGCTGACCTTAACAAGGGGGAGCTCATGGACCCCAGACCTATAGATGGGAAACTAGCATAGGAGTGATCCAGACCCCAAGAGCATGGGTGTCAGTGAGGAGGCCTTGGCAATCTAGGTAGTAGATCAGTATTTATCCCTGGCTTATGAATGGACTTTGAGAGCCCAGTCCACATAGAGGGATACTCTCTCAGCCTAGACACATGGGCTCCAAATGATGTGACAGACTTTGAAGATCTCCCATGTACAGCCTCACCCTCCCTGGGGAGCAGAAAGGGGATGAAAATAGGGGGTTAGTGAGGGACAGGGGAGGAAGGGAGGGAGAGGGAACTGGGGTTGACATGTAAAAGAAGCTTGTTTCTAATTTAAATAAAAAAATAAAATAGGGGTAAAAAGCAGCCTCTGAGACTTGTTCCATGTCTCTCTGACAGTGGAGGGGGTCACTTGGGCTGGCAAGACAACAGAGCCACGACACCTGAGTGACCCGTCCACTGTCAGGGAGAGAATGGGAGGACAGTGTCTCCAGAGACTGAGGAGTCACTGTCTCCTCTCTCCATCCTTCATTATGCAACTTCCTCATTGTCCTCTTTCCCTTACCCTAGTGTCCTTCAACACAAAGATATGTCTTTCCCAGTGCTGTCATGGGAACTCCCTGGGGATAAGCTGTGTCACCAACTGTTTGCTGAAAAAGTCCAGAACAGATGAGGATTACTTATCCCATCATCTTTGCCTTAATAAGATAATCACCAAGTATGCATTCATGCCTTATTTGTCCCATCAATTTTGCCTAGCCAAGCAGAAAACTGGTTGGCTTAAGGATACTGACTGAAGTTCAAGGTCCCCACTAAGAGGTCATGTAAACACAGGTTTTCTTTGCTTGTTGTTTCAAATGTCAATCTCCATCTGCCCCTATCCTTTCTCTGGTGCAAATGGAGGAACTAGTGAATAATGGGAACATTATTCATTCATTTATTTATTTTGATTTAGAGTAGGATTAATGGGCCACAAAGTGCCCATGTTTTTTAATTTTTTAAGGAACTTGCATATAGTTCTTTTACACTGTTTCCTATAATGATTACCCCAATTTATATTATTTCCCCTTGTATCACTCTATATCTAATCCCTTTTATTCTCTTGCTTTGTGGCAATGTAGCCAGATGAGATACTATCTTCCTGTGGTTTTGATTTGCCTCTGATTAGAGAAGTTGAACAATTTTTATGTACCTAATGGCCATTAGTCTGATTTCATTGGGAAAATGTCTGTATGAATCTTTTACCTATTTTTAAAATTGTGTCATTATTTATTTGTTTATTTATTCACTTTTGCCATTGGGTTATAGGAGTTCCCTATGAAGATAGCAAAGATTCATAAGATATTTGATTTGTATTTTCTCCATCACATAGTTGATATCTTACTTTCCTGATCATTTCCCTTTCAGTGCAGAGACCACATGTTCTGTCATAATCCCAATTAGTCATCATTGCTCTGTTATCATTACTTTTGGCATCATAGACAAGAAACTCTCCAAGCAGCCTATGAGGAGAAATGTTTCTCATTTCCTCCAGGAGTCTTATGGCTTGAGGTCTTATCTATATGTCTTTAATCTATTTTATTTCTTTTTCTGTATGGTATGAGATAAAAGTCCATGTTTACTTCTGTATGTGGGTATCCAGTTTTCCCAGCATGATGTTGGAGATACTCTCTGTCCCCTGTGTGTATTCTTGTCCCCTTTGTCAGAGATCACACATGTCTGGGTTTACTTCTAGGCTCTGTTCTTTTCCATTGACCCATAAGTTTGTTTTTGTATTAGAACTAGATTGCTTTGATTGCTGCAAGTTTATAATATCATAATAGCTACTTAAGTTATTTCTATGTAAATGAATCTATTAACAAGACCCAAGTTTTCATTCTTACTAGCATGTGCCCTGATTTCAGGAACCCCACGTGACTTTGACTACTGCTTAGACAGCAGTGCTGGAAGGCCCTCTTTGTTATAGAATGGGCCTTCTTTCCTCTTCCATTCCTAGGTACTTCCTGCTGCTTCCTTTCCTGTATGATTTTGTGCAGGAGAATAACTTCTGGGGTTTTGAAGTCTTTCATATAGTCCCAGCATTTGTTGGTATCTCTAAATAAGGCAGCATGAGCATCCTAGTCACCATCCCCTTTGGAACTTTCCTTTTGGTCTCTGTCTTTGCTCCTAGATCACTTTCTCCATTGATGGCGACAGTCAATTCTGAGGCATTCCTGGCTTTGGGACAGACTCTGCTTCAACAGAGGGCTCTTTCCCCAGCAAATAGTCCCTTACTTGGTATATCAGTCTTTATAAGAATCAAGGCACTAGATGTTGGGCCCAAAATCCACTGAGGGTACTTGGTTTGTGGAGGTTGAAAATGGCTACCCACCTCACTCTGTTAAGTCAACCCCAAACTGTGCATTTCCCTTCTTTCTCCTTTGGACACGATACTCTCTCCTGTACTAGAATATAAACTTTCAAGGACAGAGTTGTTTCAGTGTCTTTGCTTGTTGTTAGACGAATACCTAATAGTTGTTTGTGAATGGTGGAGGAAAATTTGGACCTAGTGGAGATAGAGAGGCTCTGTGTCAGTTTCCCGTGGCTGCTGTGATAAAGAGGAAACTGCAGAAAAGTCTATGCTCACAGTTTTTGGGGCTACACTCTTGCTATCAAAACGTTGCTAGGGTCCTGATCCCTTTGAAGAGTTTGTGGGTGAATCCTTCCCTTAGTTTTCCTAGCATCTGCTGAGCATTCCTCAGTGTTCCTTGACTTATAGACGTGTCACTCCAAT